TGCAGTGGAGGTATTTGCCATCCTGGCCTCCAGTTTCGGGCTCTTGTTGGCACTGTTTGGACCCAAATGTTACATAATTCTGCTGAGACCAGAGAGAAACACAAAGAAAGCAATCATGGGTCGGGGCATTGAGTCATAAAAATTGAACTACATTTTATTGGAAATACTGAATCTTATACGCAATACAAAAATACAGGCAGAAAAGTATATTAAGAGTGATAGCAATGTTAAGATATTGAGAAAGCATGGCTGATGACAAATAAACATATTGGAATATTAAAGCTTTTACAACTTGGATAATGTATGTGAGAATTTTCAAACACAACCATTTATTCTACTTTTTTCAGGATACAATTAAAGTACAAGGTACTTGCACTTCAAATGCTATTACCTTTTTGACTTTTCCTGGTGTGAAGTCTATTTTCATTCATGTACAATCACAGCTCATCTCAGCTTCTGACTTTCCAAATGTCAAAGACTTTTAAACAAAAAAGCAATAATTCATTACTTTTCTTGAAGAATTGCAGACAACAACATGGGCACCGCACAGTGGCTGGCATAGTTGCCTCACAGCAAGAATGTCCAGGGTTCGAATCTTGGCTGGATCAAGGCCTTGCTGTGTAGAGTTTGCATCTTGTCCTTGTGTTGGCGTGGATGTCCTCCTGTTGACATATGTAAGGTTGTTTTCTATAATTTATTATTTTTTTATATATCTTCATAACAATTAACCTTAGTAATACATTCATACAGATGCCATAATTTGCATGTTGTTAATTTTTAACCTTCCAAAAGAAAATAAAGACAAATTGTACAAAACGAAAATGAGAAAATAAGAAGAAAAGAACTATCACATAAAAAACTGTATAGATGAAACGATTAATAAATAATATAATATATCACTTTGATTAGTCTTCTGTTGTGCAAATTTATGTTGGGAATCCATATAAAGCCATTTAGACGGAATGACTGGGGAACAAATCTGCTATGTATTACATTTTGAATTTGTAAAAAATGTAACAAATTGGTGTGTGGGATAATACATTTTAAGATAATTAAGTAAACAAGGCAAATATCTAATCGATATACAGATCCTTAAAGCCACGTATACCACTACTGTTCCAGCTCTTAACTCTTTATCGAGCGAGAAACCATATATGGTCACTTCCTTATGATGGTTTTAATTACACTTCTATGGCATATTTTGGTGGGGTTGTTTTATAGGTGATATACTAATATATACTTCACTGTTACGGCTTTCTTTCACAAATAACTGAAAGTGGGCTTGATCTTGATTTGCTTATGGCTTGTTTATTACATATTTTCATGGTATATTGATGTAGCATATTTCTTTTGCAGCAGCTGTCTGCTCAGTCTTTCTATGGGAAGAGGAGGCCTGCAGTGCCACAGATTGTTGTTGTGCCACCTAGACATCATTGACTTTGATTTCAAGCCTAAAACTGAACTTTTTCAAAAAATCAAAACAGAAAAAAATTCTTCTTATAACCACCAATAACACTCCAGGGTTAAAATGTTTAATTTCCAAGTATTTCAGTGAGTGAGTTAAAAGCAGAATCTATCACAGAGGGTGGTAAAATATATTTTAATATAATTAGAATAAATCGGTGCCCTGATCGATACTGAATGTAATCGAAACCATTTTTAACCAGATTCTGAGAGAATGACTTGAAGGCCAGTGTGCATGAAGGCATGTTGACATATATGAATATTTTAAGAAGAGCAAATCTGTAAAGTTTAAATTAGACAGATAACAAATAAACAAAGGTTGATGGAGTACTGATCATATCAATTATCTGTAAAGTTACTGTGTGCCACAATAGACACAATAGCAATCTATGAAATACACAGTGCAATGAAAAATGTAAAAATAAATGGGAAGACGCATATTATTTCGCCAAATGTATGCTGCTGCCATCTAATGGAAGCTAATGTTAATGTTTCACATACTCAGGGCCAATTTGTGTATTTGGTGTCTCACACACAAATTTGAGATTAGACTTTGTACAAAGTGGTTCTACTGATACATACTCTATGTGTCTGCTCATGAGTGATTAAGCAAATGTTTTATGGGAAGGTGAAAAAGTCTACTTAATCTTCAGTTTAACATACATATCGACTGCCATGCAAATTTCATAAGACCTCAATTATTGAAGTCAAGGTAAGCATTTCTAGAGAAACCATGACAAATACCATGATGAAAAACACAGGAAGTAATGTAACTAACATTAGCTAGCTTGTGTGTTTGCAAACTGTTGCAATAGTTGTTGCTCCAAAGATGCAGAGAAGATGAGGCAGTTTCTCAGAGCCAGCACCACCAGCTCCAGACAGCAATGCTCACAAATTAATTATCACACAATGAGATACATTTTAGACCCTGCCCCTACTTTTGCTTATGCACTGATGGGTGGTGCAAAAGAATAAACAATACTGCAAGTCAATAAAAGTGGCTGACATAGCAATAAAACTGACTGGGCTCAGAAAAGGGGTAAACAGAAGAAAAGTCATGTGGACATTTTCAGAGATCAACTTGCACTTGCTCATGTATTTCATGTTGTTGTATTTGTACTTTTCTTCCACTGTGTCTTCCCCTCTTCAGTCCTCCTCCTCCTGCCAGTTACAGGGAAAGTTTAATCTAAATGGGATGCACAAGGCTGGAGATGTGGTTCTCGGTGGGCTGTTTGGAATCCACTTTGTTTCTGTCTTCCCTGACCTGTCTTTTACCTCAGAGCCACAACAGCCTACCTGCCACGGGTGAGTCTGTCAGGGAAACAGCAAGAAGGAGAAAGTGAGGGAGATCAATCCTATGTATGGAATGTATTTTTGAAATCAGATAATTCCTACTCTGAAATAATTGCATGTGATTTATGCCATTTTAGGCAGTTAACTTTTTGCACTTTATTATTTCGTTAAGTTTTTAATCAACTGTCTGCAATATCTGTAGTTGTAAAACATGTACATATCATGTTGTATTTGTCAGTTGTAAACAGTGGTATATTTTGTGTTAGTTTTGATGTTCTAGGATTCAGGCTGGCCCAGACCATGGCCTATGCTATTGATGAGATCAACAGAAACCCCAACCTGCTACCTAATGTGACTCTGGGATACAGCCTTTATGATATCTGCGTCAAACTAGGGATTGGATTCCGTGCAGCGCTGTCCTTAGTCAGTGGTCAAGAGGAGCAATTTTTATTAGAAGAGACATGTGTAGGAACCCCTCCAGTCTTAGGGATTGTGGGTGATTCTTCCTCTACACGTTCTATTGCCATCTCCACTGTCTTAGGTTTGTACAGAGTACCCATGGTAAGTTTTCCGCCTTGCCATCAAATAATTATTTTGGATAATTTTGATCTGATTTCAAATGTGTCAGTTGTAAACAAGAAGTAATCAACCATAAAAAGCTAAAAGAGACGGTTAAGGCTTTGAATGTTTTTAGGATGTATTGCCTTCTCTCTCACAGGTGAGTTATTTTGCCACATGTTCCTGCCTGAGTGACCGGCAAAAGTTTCCATCGTTCTTTAGGACGATTCCAAGTGATGCTTTCCAGGTGACCATCTATCAGCAAAATGAAAATGCAAAAAACCCCACTAGAATGCTATTTTCACCATGTATTTCTAGTTTTCTTTATCTTCGTCATCATGGTTCATATGTGAAATTATTGTGAAAACTATTGATGTATAATTCATGCATGATGGTGATTCATCAGTGATCCTTAATTCACTTTAATAAAGACATCGACATGCATGCAATCCTTGCCATGACCAAATGTGACTTATATAAACATAAACATTGCTCACATTAACTCAAAGGGTTGAGTATTTTAGGTTTGATATTTGACCCTTGCATTTGATGTCTCAGTTTCACTGATTATTAAATAACAGATGTGATGACATAAAGAGAGTAGGCAGATGCAGCTATGAATTCACACGCATTCCCCCGGTTGAAAAAGTGAGCTCCCCCGAAAGCTATTGTTTAGTTCACACACATGTGATCCGTTGTAAAACTTGTTTAGCAGGTTTCCCACTGAAAGATTATTCCAACCTGTGCACTAATTCCTCCACTCTATATTCACTTAGGTGCGTGCTATGATTCAGGTTATAAAGTACTTTGGCTGGACTTGGACAGGTCTGCTGGTCAGTGATGATGACTATGGACTTCATGCTGCCCGATCCTTCCAGTCTGACCTGGCTCAGTATGGTGGAGGCTGTCTGGCCTACTTAGAAGTTTTGCCCTGGGGCGGTGACCCAGCTGAACTAAGGAGGATTGTGGATGTGATGAAAAAGTCCACAGCTCGTGTGGTCATTGTGTTTGCACATGAGAGTCACATGATTAACCTCATGGAAGAGGTTGGGCTTAAATATTATAATATTATACTACTCAATGTTTTATTCATTAGACTGAAGGATTTAAGTAAAATAACATACTGACCTGTAAAAATAGATTTAATTTGATTAAACGTATTATTTAAAGGTGTTGTTAGCAGGGTTTCAGAGATTACACACACCAATTACTCTGAACTCCATTTATAATGATGTGCATCTCTTTGCTCATACTGAGTACTCTCTACACCGAATTTCACCTGTTTATGAATCACTAAGACAAGACATCAGCTATGTAAACTATATATATTGAGACACAATTTTAGTTGCATGGCAGTATGGATTTTTGAATTTGGTATAATACATAGGTGGTGAGGCAGAATGTGACAGACCTGCAGTGGATTGCCAGTGAAGCCTGGATAGCAGCTACTGTGTTCCAGACCCCCCACCTTATGCCATACCTGGGTGGCATACTGGGCATCGCCATCCGTCGAGGAGAAATACCAGGGTTCAGGGAATTCCTCTTACAAATACGTCCTTACCAGCACCACAACAACAGCAATGGAAATAGCATGGTGAAAGTTTATGCTTACAATCTGATGACAAATTGGAAGAATTTTATTATTGTTATTATGTTAACACATGCATGTTTTAAATATATTTCAGTTAAACCAGTTCTGGGAATACACGTTTCAGTGTAGATTTGCACCACCTCCAGCAGGTTGGTTAGAAGCTGGGGGAGTATTATGCACTGGACAGGAAGATCTGGAGAATGTGGAGACTGAGTTTTTGGATATTTCAAACCTCAGACCAGAGTATAATGTGTACAAGGCTGTGTATGCTCTGGCGTACGCCCTTGATGACATGCTGCAGTGTGAGCCAGGGAGAGGGCCTTTCAGCGGGCACAGCTGTGGATATTTGAAAGGACTGGAGCCATGGCAGGTGTGATATCAATTTACACTCTACCTGTTTCTAATCCTACACTTAGTAACACTTTATATTATGGTCCTTGTAATAATCATTAGATGCATATTAGTAATATGATATGTTAATAAGATTGTAAGAGTTAATAAAAGAGTCCTAAAAAATACATTCATTCAGAATTACATACTTTATTATGCACTTATTAAGAGTTAACTATGCTTTTTGGAGGAACTGGATCTTAATATTGTTATTACTAACCCACTGCAGTAATACTTTAATAAGGACCTTAATATAAAGTGTTACTCTACGCTTTACCATTAACTACAAATGAGATTACAAATCAGAGAGAGGAGATAGCTAAAAGCATTTTCGATTCCCTGTACCAGTCGATATTATTATCTGGTCAGAGGCAACAATATCTTGTCAATAGGTAAACAGAGCTGTGACAACTTTAAAGGAAGTGCATTTTGGGAATGTTGATATGTTCATTTCTGTGTAGTATGCACTTTGATGATTGAATACTAGTTTCAGCTGTGTTCACTATGGTTATATATTTTTTCATTTGTCCTTTGTTCTTGTTCTATCCCTTATTCTCATAGTTAGTGTATTACTTGCAAAAGGTCAACTTCACAACACAGTTTGGTGATCAAGTGTCATTTGATGAGAATGGTGATGCCTTACCAATATATGATATCATGAACTGGCTGCGACTCCCTGATGGAAGAACTAAACTTCAGAATGTGGGTGAAATTAAGAGATCTGTGTTCAAAGGAGAAGAACTCACAATTGATAAAGACAAAATCTTCTGGAAGTTTGAATCAAAAAAGGTTACTTGTGATTTTCCAGACATCTATTTTTTAGATAGCTTCATGGATGAGTACTGTACTGTTGAATGACATATATTTATCGTTCTCCCTACAGCCACCTCGATCAGTGTGCAGTGAGAATTGTCCTCCAGGTACACGCATGGCGAGAAAGAAAGGGGAGTCTGTGTGCTGTTTTGACTGCGTCCCATGTTCTGAGGGAAAGATCAGCAATAAGACTGGTTGGTACTGACTTTTAAACGCTGAAATTAATTTGGAGATATAATGTAAACATATGTATCACAATACTGTCCCTTTCTTTATAGACTCCACTGAGTGCATCAGTTGTCTAGAGGACTATTGGTCCAGCCCTCAGCGTGACCGCTGTGTTCCTAAGCAAACAGAGTTCCTCTCCTACCATGAGCCTCTGGGTATCGGCCTGACAGCTGCCTCATTACTGGGCACATTTATCTGTGCTGTTGTCCTGGGGATCTTTATCCATCATCGCAGTACACCTATAGTACGCGCCAACAATTCTGAACTGAGCTTCCAGCTGTTGCTGTCACTTAAGTTATGTTTCCTGTGTTCACTGCTGTTTATCGGCCGTCCCAGGCTATGGACATGTCAGCTGAGACATGCAGCCTTTGGGATCAGCTTTGTGCTTTGCATTTCATGCATCCTGGTGAAAACCGTGGTGGTTCTGGCTGTGTTCAAGGCTTCCAAGCCAGGAGGTGGAGCCAATCTGAAGTGGTTTGGTGTTTTGCAGCAGAGAGGGACTGTTATGGTTCTCACTTCTATTCAGGCAGCAGTCTGCACTGCTTGGATTGTATCTGCCTCACCAACTCCTCATAAGAACACTCAATACTATAGTGACAAGATAGTTTATGAGTGTGTTGTTGGGTCAACAGTCGCTTTTGCAGTTTTACTGGGATATATTGGCTCACTGGCTATTCTCAGTTTTCTGATTGCATTCATATCAAGGAATCTTCCAGATAGTTTCAATGAGGCCAAACTCATCACTTTCAGCATGCTGATCTTTTGTGCTGTGTGGGTGGCCTTTGTCCCTGCTTATATCAGCTCTCCAGGCAAATATGCAGATGCAGTGGAGGTATTTGCCATCCTGGCCTCCAGTTTTGGCCTTTTGGGAGCACTGTTTGGACCCAAATGTTACATAATCCTGCTGAGACCAGAGAGGAACACAAAGAAAGCAATCATGGGTCGAGGCACTGAGTAATAAAAACTGTACTTAACTTAATAAAATGGGAATAAATTATGTTTCTCTACACAATACAAAATTACAGGCAGCCATATCAAAAAATGAGGAAGGCAAAGCTGATGCCCAATAAATTAATTAATTAATTTGAATATCAAATATCTTACCACTTGGATCAAGTTATTTTAGTTTTTTCCAAGATGTAGTTGAATTATAAAGGACCTGCACCTGATATGCTATTATTACCTTTGTGAGTTCATGATTTAAGTTAACCATACACCTGATTAACTACAAGTTTCTCTGAATAAATTATTCTATACTATTTGGATTTATCTGACATCATTATATGCATTTATTTTGATTGTTGATCCTTGTTTAAACTTCCAATGTAGGACGAGGCTGTTAATAATCTAAACTTTTTAAATAACTATTTAATTTAGTGTTCTTCACAAAAATGAAGAAAATGTTGAGCTATAGGCCTACTGTATATATTTCAGTTTTCTTAGACCTCTTAAAATCAAGAAGGCCTCGCCAGCCCCGATGAAGTTTTGGCAACTCCTGATTTAGCTCTCGGCCCCCATTTGGAGTACAGGATTAAATACAAAGCTATAAGATTATGAATCATAAAGTGCCCAGCAGAACGATTTTCCCTACCGCTGATGGCAGTGAATAGAACTGTATTATTAAGTCAGTAATAGATTAATGTCTTCATATGTTTATAAGTGTTGCTCAGTCAGACAACTCACGTTTGAGATATTTATTACAGCAGTATAGCAAAGTTAGATTTTGGAGTCTAGGCTCCGACCTCATCACTCCTTGCAGATATGTTAATGTAGACATATTGGGGAGTGATGAGCAAATACCTTAAGATCCCTAGCCAGAGCCCACAGGTGGATGCTCGGGTGGTGATGGGGCTTTACAGAGCAGCAGGCAGCAATACTGAAGGAGGGCAGCAGCGGCATTGAAAAAGCAGAGGGAGAGCTGGGAAATTTTGCAGCTTAAATAGACCGCCAGATTGGAAGGGTGTGCTTGGTTAGTGATTATTTAGTGTGAGGCATGTCATGTGTGTATAGCAGCGCAGCTCGAGTTGATTGCCTGAACTAGCTCACAGGCTTCCCTCCATGTGGACTACACTCACCTGTTTTATATGACCCCCAAAGGCAAAGAGCTTCTCTTAGCTTCTGAGTTTCCAAACATTAAATGTCACAAAGTCTGTGTTTTTAAAAAAACCAAACAGTAATCTATGAAGCGAAATAAAAGCATTAGAGCTATAATATGTTAGCCTGAATTGCACAAACTGTGTTAATGTGTAATAGTTAAATCCACATTCTCAGGGCTAATTTGTGCATTTGGTGAGTTTCATTTGGTATGCTTGTCACAAACTCTGCTTAGGTTTTAAACTGCACAGTGATACTGAAGAAAACTTGCAATGCAACTTGATGTTTTCAGGTGAGGTGAAACAGTCTATGTTATAATATAACTTACACATCAATGTCAATTTAATTTGACATTCACATTAGGTATGTATGTCATTAAAAGTGCACTAATCAACTCTGCCTCAATACAAAATAAATCTCAAAAGCATTTAAGGCCCTGCCCCTTTTTGACCCCTGCCTTTGCCCTGATGACAATACTACTAACTAATAAAAGGGGCTGTGATAGCAATAAAACCGACTGGGCTCAGGAAAAGGGTAAACAGGAGGAAAGCCATGTGGACATTTTTAGTAATCAACTTGTCCTTGCTTATGTATTTCATTTTGTTGTATTCCTACATTTCTTCTGCTGTGTCCTCCCCTCTTTATTCCTCCTCCTCCTGCCGGTTACAGGAACAGTTTCATTTAAGTGGGATGCACAAGGCTGGAGATGTGGTTCTAGGTGGACTGTTTGAGATCAACTTCTTTTCTGTCTATTCTGACCTGTCTTTTACCTCAGAGCCACAACAGCCTACCTGCCACGGGTGAGTCTGTCAGGGAAAAAGCAAGAAGGAGAAAGTGAGGGAGATCAATCCCATTGAAAGCATATATTTTTGATCACCTGAAATCTTCAATTTTGCATTCATACTATTTTAAACATTTTGCTTATTTTGAATGGTTTGATTGAAGTATTACACTGTCTTAATTTATTTGCAAAGTCTGTAGTTGTCAGTTACCATATCAATTGTTTTTTCAAGAATTAACAGTGTTGTATGTCTGTTTGTGTTAGTTTTGACACTCCAGGGTTCAGGAATGCCATGACCATGGCCTATGCTATTGATGAGATCAACAGAAACCCCAACCTGCTGCCTAATGTGACTCTGGGATACAGCCTTTATGATAACTGTGTCAAACTAGGGATTGGATTCCGTGCAGCGTTGTCCTTAGTCAGTGGTCAAGAGGAGCAATTTACATTAGACGAGACATGTGTTGGAACCCCTCCAGTCCTAGGGATTGTGGGTGATTCTTCCTCTACAAGTTCTATTGCCATCTCCACTGTCTTAAGTTTGTACAGAGTACCCATGGTAAGTTTTCCGCCTTGCCATCTAACAGTGCTTTTGGATAATACTGATTTAATTTTAAATTTAATATCATTTGTCAACATGGAGTAATAAACTGTAAAGAGTTAAAAGAGCCGGAAAAGGCTTTGAATGGTTTTAGGATGTACAGTCTGTATCTTTCACAGGTGAGTTATTTTGCCACATGTTCCTGCCTGAGTGACCGGCAGAAGTTTCCATCCTTCTTTAGGACGATCCCAAGTGATGCTTTCCAGGTGACCATCTATCAGCAAAATGAAAATGCAGAAAGCATGTGCAATTAAACACTCCTCAGAAATAACAACCCTTCACTGCAATGAAAAACTAATACCTTGAAAGGCAATAATTAAACACGAACCAGTTGATCAGATTTTGCGGAGAGATTATTCCAGCCTGTATGTGAACTAATCTCTCAACTCTGTTTTCACTCAGGTGCGCGCTATGATTCAGATTTTAAACCGCTTTGGCTGGACTTGGGCAGGTCTGCTGATCGGTGATGATGACTATGGACTCCACGCCGCTCGATCCTTCCAATCTGACTTTGTTCACTCTGGTGGAGGTTGTCTGGCCTTCTTAGAAGTTTTACCCTGGGGCGGTGATCCAGCTGAACTAAGGAGGATTGTGGATGTGATGAAAAAGTCCACAGCTCGTGTGGTCATTGTGTTTGCACATGAGAATCACATGATTAACCTCATGGCAGAGGTTGGCTTTTAAAAAATGTCTTAATTATACTACTCAATGTTTTATTCATCAGACTTAAGGATTTAAGTTACAATCACATATTAACCTGTAAAAATAGATTTAAATCACTTGCTCTAGCCAATTACTCTGAACTCCATTTATATTGATGTGCATCTCTTTGATCATAATACTGTGTAAAACACAGGATTGCACCTGTTTATAAATGAGACAGTGTAAACTGTTATACTGTGTAAACATAAGACACTACTTTAGTTGCATGGCAGTATGTATTCATACATTTGGTATAATGCACAGGTGGTGAGGCAGAATGTCACAGGCCTGCAGTGGATTGCCAGTGAAGCTTGGACAGCAGCCACTGTGTTCCAGGCCCCCCACCTTATGCCATACCTGGCTGGCACATTGGGCATCGCCATCCGTCGAGGAGAAATACCAGGACTCCGGGAATTCCTTTTACAAATACGTCCTGACCAACACCACAACAACAGCAACGGAAATAGCATGGTGAACGTTTAACCTTACAATTTAAAGACAAATTGATGGAATATTTCTTCTGTTAACATGCATTTTTTTATGCATTTCAGGTAAAAGAGTTTTGGGAATACTCATTTCAGTGTAGATTTGCACCGACTCCAGCAGGTTGGGTGGAAGGTGGGGGAGCATTATGCACTGGACAGGAAGATCTAAAAGATATGGAGACTAAGTATTTGGACATTTCAAACCTCAGGCCAGAGTATAATGTGTACAAGGCTGTGTATGCTCTGGCGTATGCCCTTGATGACATGCTGCGGTGTGAGCCAGGGAGAGGGCCTTTCCACGGGCACAGCTGTGGCAGTTTGCAAAGACTGGAGCCATGGCAGGTATCAGGTTTACACTGTCTAAATCATATGCTTTAGTTAAGTAGTTCCCAACCTTTGTCATTACGAGACTCCTTTCCTATCATTGAGTAAATTCACGGCCCTGACTCAGTGACATATTTTATGGATATTTCATTTTATACTTAATATACAATAATGACAGTACAGATCCAGAAAATAAACTGTACAGTGAACCTAAATAATGACCCCACTGTAAGACGTTGGTATAAAACAAGTGATTTGGATGAATTTTGAGCAGATTATTTCTTGCGAGTATCATCAGAAATTAGTTTTCTTGATATTTTTAGAAATATTTTATAGAATTCTCTGTGTATTGTTTTTGTTGTTGTTGTTGTTTTTGTTTTTACAAAAATACATAATAGGGTTCTTTCTCATTGTTTTATTAACTCTTTGGTTGTTTGAACTCCAATGCAGGAAGAGGCTGTTAATAATCTAAAACTTTATAAATAACTATTTAATTCAGTGTTCTCACAAAATTCTGTACAAAAATGAAGAAAATGCTATGTACTATGTATATTTCAGTTTTCTTACACCTCTTGAAACCAAGAAGGCCTCGCCAAACCCCATGAAGCTTTGGCAACTCCTGATTCAGGTCACGACCCCCATTTGGAGTACAGGATTAAATATAAAACTATAAGATTATGAATCATAAAGTGCCCAGCAGACCGATTTTCCTACCGCTGATAGTAGTGAATATTATTATTAAGTTAGTAATAGATTAATCTCTTCATATGTTCACAAGTGTAGTATGCGTATTGATAATTTAATACTAGGTACCACTGTGTTCACCATGGTAATATAGAATTATTTTAAAGTCCACTTTGCTTTTCCTCTGTCCCTTATTCTGTAATTCATAGCTTGTGTATTACATGGGAAAGGTCAACTTCACCACACCGTTTGGTGATGAAGTGTCATTTGATGAGAATGGTGATGCCTTACCAATATATGATATCATGAATTGGCTATGGCTCCCTGATGGAAGAATTAAACTTCAGAATGTGGGTGAGATTAAGAGATCAGCCTTCAAAGGAGAAGAACTCACAATTGATGAAGACAAAATCTTCTGGAACTTTCCATTAAAGAAGGTTATTCATGATTTTGTGACACCTACTTTTTGGCCCATGGATAACTCATTAGCTTCGTCTAAAGTGGTGTAGAAACCAGATATTTGTTCTACTCCCCATAGCCACCTCGATCAGTGTGCAGTGAGAACTGTCCTCCAGGTACACGCATGGCGAGAAAGAAAGGGGAACCTGTGTGCTGTTTTGACTGCATCCCTTGTTCTGAGGGAAAGATGAGCAATAACACTGGTTGGTACTGACTTTTAAACATTGAAATTTGGAGATATAATATGAACACATGTATCTGAAGACTGTCCTTTTTTCATAGACTCCACTGAGTGCATCAGTTGTCCAGAGGATTTCTGGTCTGGCCCCCAGCGTGACCGCTGTGTTCCTAAGCTAACAGAGTTCCTCTCCTACCATGAGCCTCTGGGTATCAGCCTGACAGCTGCCTCATTACTGGGCACAATTATCTGTGCTGTTGTCCTGGGGATCTTTATCCATCATCGCAGTACACCTATAGTACGCGCCAACAATTCAGAACTGAGCTTCCAGCTGTTGCTGTCACTTAAGCTATGTTTCCTGTGTTCACTGCTGTTTATCGGCCGTCCCAGGCTATGGACATGCCAGCTGAGACATGCAGCATTTGGGATCAGCTTTGTGCTTTGCATTTCATGCATCCTGGTGAAAACCGTGGTGGTTCTGGCTGTGTTCAAGGCCTCCAAGCCAGGAGGTGGAGCCAATCTGAAGTGGTTTGGTGTTTTGCAGCAGAGAGGGACTGTTATGGTTCTCACTTCTATTCAGGCAGCAGTCTGCACTGCATGGCTTGTATCTGCCTCACCAACTCCTCATAAGAACACTCAATACTATAGTGACAAGATAGTTTATGAGTGTGTTGTTGGGTCAACAGTCGCTTTTGCAGTTTTACTGGGATATATTGGCTCACTGGCAATTCTCAGTTTTCTGATTGCATTCATATCAAGGAATCTTCCAGATAGTTTCAATGAGGCCAAACTCATCACTTTCAGCATGCTGATCTTTTGTGCTGTGTGGGTGGCTTTTGTCCCTGCTTATGTCAGCTCTCCAGGCAAATATGCAGATGCAGTGGAGGTATTTGCCATCCTGGCCTCCAGTTTTGGCCTTTTGGGAGCACTGTTTGGACCCAAATGTTACATAATCCTATTGAGACCAGAGAGGAACACAAAGAAAGCAATCATGGGTCGAGGCATCGAGTAATAAAAATTGCGCTTAACTTAATAAACGGGGAATAAATCCTTTTTCTCTACAGAATACAACAATGCAGGCAGTAGGCAATAGTTTATATATTAAAATATTAAGAAAGCAGCTGATGCCTAATAAATGTATCTGAATATTAAATATCTTACCGCTTGCATAAAGTTATTCTTTTCTAAGTTGAGTTAAATTATAAAGGACTTGCACTTGAGATGCTAATATTGCTTTTGTACAAGTTACAAGTTTCCCTGAAGAAATTATGCTTTACTATTTGGATTCATTTGACACTATTACATGCATTTATTATTGACCTGTCTGGAGCTACACTCACCGGTTTTATATGACCCCCAAATGCAAAAAGCTTCTCTTATCTCCTGAGTCTCCAAACATGAAATGTCATATCTGTGTTAAAAACAACAACAGTGATCATTGACTGTTCTTGAGTGGAATTGCAGGCAACAGTGATATCATTTTGCAGTACCAAATAAAAGCATAACAACTATAATGTGACAGTTTAATGGTAGGTAACCTATCCTACACACATGTTTCTGCAGAACTGATCTAATATCTCACACGTTACTGTGTGCCAGGTAGATACAAAGTCCTCTATCAAAAATTATTTCACTATATGTCTTAGTATGCTGCCGCCATCTAGTGGACAAACTGTGTTAATGTTTAATAGTTAAATCCACATTCAGGGCTGCTTTGTGCAGTTTAATTTGGTATGCTTGTCACAAATTCTGCTCAGGTTTTAAACTGCAAAGTGATTCTGAAGAAAACTTTCAACAATGCAAGTTGATGTTTTCAACTGAGGTGAAACAGTCTACATTATAATATAAACTACATGTCAGTGTAATTTTCATGTGACATTCATTTTAAGTTAAACAACTAATAAAAACTCAATATGACTGTCATACAAATTTTGGTTGACCTCACTTGCAATCATCCACAATTAAAATTTGGTTAGAAAGGTTGCTAACATGGCCTTGATTATATGATATTAATATTATTAAAGATTATATTATATTAAAATTGCACTTATCAATTATTGTATTGTTGTACCTGTCTAGTCCCAGCCTGTTATCACATATTCTTCCATATCATAAAACTTCATAGTCATCAACTGAAACTCATAAACAAGACATAGTGGTGATAAGCTGCAGGTGAACATAACTATTTTCCAAGAACATGGCTGATGTCGTTTTTTTATTCTCCAATAACTCAGTGACTGCATTTTTATCTCTGAAGAGCTTTGCAGATGGATAAATTCTCAGGCGAGTTAAGTAGCTTCAGATGACAGAACAAATGTTGCTCCCTTAGCAGGCTCATGTCCTTTCACCAGCAATTCAATTTTAATCTGAACTGCCTCTGCCAGCCTCTGATGAAGTGTAGAAATGGGATGAAATCACTGCACTGGAAGAGAACGTTTGCAATGTTCTTGATGAAATTAATTTTTATTTAACAAAATATTATAGTCGTCAAATGAGCTGCTGGAATGTGTTTTACTGCACCATGTCAACTGGGAAAGATTTTCAATTCATAACAGTCCCAGATTGAAAGGGATTTAAATACATAATGACTTGAAAATAAATTAGCTTATCAAAAGTCAAGCTTGTTCTCTAAAATGTCTCCCAGTGCCTTAATGCCCAGACCACACACAGAAATAGTTCTGCTCCAGACTAAAGTGTTTGTATGAATTTAAGATGAATTAAAATGAACCTGAATGAACTGCAAGTTTCAGGAACTGATTACTTCTCAGTAGTGCTGGAAACTGAGCTAAAACTTTATGTTTATTTTATTTTGAACATTCTTAGCTTATTAGCTTATTAGCTTATTTTGCCAATAGATTTTGTATGGCCACTTTACTAGATAGTATTTGTCTTCCTGATATTGATCAGTCACTTCACAACAATGTATGTATTTATGAGCTAGAGATACTGATTATTTTCATTGATAAAAAAACATGAATGTATGTTTAATCTATGGTAAAAATCTGTGATTCGAACGTTAACACAACTCGATTTGAAATATTTAACACAACACAGGACCCTGCTTTCATTCTGTGCTTTTCAAATGATTGACAATATAATATGAACGTTTATTTATTTATTTATTTTTATTCTGTCAAAGGTAATTTAATATCTTAAGAAATTTGAGATAGAGCCATCAGGTAATGTACAGTAGGTGCACTTTTAACAAACAATAGTAACTGTGTCATCATATCATATTTTCTTTTTTTGGAAAATCAAAACTATAACCTTTTCATTTTTCATTATACAGTGTAAAAAATATGATATAATATAATGAATCTGTGCCAAGTGAAAAGGAAAGAAGACTAAGAGGACTCAAAAAAAGCTATATATGGGATATGGATGAACCAGTTATGTGTATTGGTAATTTAGCCATGCTACCTGGCCATCAGGTGTTTCTTAGTGTTTTTCTCAGGCCTCAAGAGAATGATGAAACATTTGGGGGCAAAAATGCAGAGCAGTAACCCATAGCTGGAGGCCAGGATTGCAAATATTTCCACAGCAACAACATACTTCCCAGGAGAGCTAACGTAAGCAGGGACAAAGGCAACCCAGACAGCACAGAATATCAGCATGCTGAAGGTGATCAGTTTGGCCTCATTGAAGTTGTCAGGGAGTTTCCGAGCAAGAAAGGCCAAAAGAAGGCAGGAGCAGGCCAGCAGGCCAATGTAGCCCAGAACCAGAGAGAAGCCCACCACTGAGGCCATGGCACATTCCAGCGTGACCTTTGACCCTTGGAAACCCAGATCACGTCGAGGCACTGGGGGACTGAGGGACAGCCATATGGCACAGATGATGACCTGAATAAAAATAAATAATTTTACTTATTTAATATATACTACACCATAACCTATGTGAAAAATAAAACAAGCACCTGTATACAGGTGAGAAGGCCGACACTCCCTCTCTGTTGGCCTGGACCAAACCACCTAATCAAGGCTCCAGCACCAGGCCGAGCTGAGCGAAATGCTGCGAGAACTACTATCGTCTTGACTTGGAGGCAGGAAACACAAAGTACAAAGCTGATCCCAAAAGCTGCCTGCTGGAACCGACAAGACCAGACTGATGGACGACCAATGAAGACCAGTGAGCACAGGAAGCAGAGCTTCAGCGACAGGAGAAGTAGGAAGCTCAGCTCTGAATTGTTGGCTCTCACCTGCAAAGGAGAAGTCATAGTCAAATGCAAGCACATTAACAGCCAAACTGAGAATGATTCAGTATGTAATAATTCCACCTTGCAGCAAAAAATGTCACAGTAGGGTGTATTAAATGAAATAGACCTACAATAACTTCATACAACTAAAACTTCACAGCAGTGAGGATTTGATGAAATAGTTTCATTTACATCACTCTAGGTTCTTACCATAGGTGTTTGACGGTAGCAAATAAACACCACAAACACAGCTGTTGTCATCATAGCACCAGACACAGCTGCTGTAGTCAGAGTAATGCCCAAAGTTTCATTGAAGGAAAGGAAGTCCAGCTGACGAGGAACACAGGCTGTTTGTTCAACATTGGACCAGAACTCAGAAGGACAACGCTCACAGTGAAGGGAACCTGGAGAAGAGAAAAGAGTGGATGGGAGAAGAGAGTAAAACAAAAAGGCGAAACGTGCAGATTGAGGAGTCAGTCTCACTGCATTTTGACATGACTATCAGATTTTTTATATTGTAAAACCTCACCAGTTTTATTGCTAATCTCCCCATCAGCACATGGAATACAGTCAAAGCAGCAGAGAGGTTCTCCTTTCCTGTTGACCTTTCGGGTACCTGGGGGGCAGCTCTTACTGCACACTGAAACAGGCACCTAAACAAAAAGTAAAACCATATTCTCAAACATGAAACAAATGTATTCTGGTAATAGTCAAATTTTAAAAAAGTATACATTTTGTTACTGATCTGAATAAACATTATTTTCCTATTTTATACCTGATTAGACCCTGTGCTCCACTGAATAGCTGACTCATTAAGGTGGAGGTCAAACCCATCAATATGACCAATCAAGACAAGTTTGAGGGGCCCCTCAGGGGTCTTCTGCCAGTTGACAAGGTCGTACTTTGCTGGAATGTCGGCACCTTGGAAGTGAAACATTTCACCCTGTGGCGTGGTGAAACTCACGTTGCTCAAGTGCTGCAACAGCTGAAAGCATCAAAATATTGATACTGCTCATATTAAAATGCATGTGACAAATCTATTATTTTTCTCATTCTCAGTTTTAAAAGCAGAGATTGTGAAAGGGGTAGATTTTCCCTCTCAGGGACAGGCTAGTATTGGGTTTACCTCTATGGGTTTGATGTTTTTTGGAGAGGAGCAGGTGGAACTGTTGTTTCCAGAAGGGCTGTCTCTGTCAGGGCAGGTCAGAAGGCTGTGAAGGGCGTGGGCTGCAGCATAAACAGCAAGATAGATATTATATGTTACTCTTAGCTGAGAGGTGTCTGTAAAGAGATTCTGCACTCCCTCCAGGGACTCTGTCCCACTGCAGGGTGGTGGAGAAGCCTTTTGAACAGGTCTACTGGCAGGGGGTGTTGTAGAAATGTTTAATAAATGACTAGAACTTTCTGCAAGTGTTACAGACTTGAGGGAAGAGGAGGCATATGAAGGAAGAGGGGTGGCTGCAGGGCTACAACCAAACTCCTTTTCCCAGAATTCTTTTAAAAACTCATCATGAGGACGACGAGATGTGTGGCAACTTCTGAGATAATTTTCAAATCCAGGTATAGGTGAACTTCGAATGGCCACACCAAGAACACCTTTTGCCACTTTAGAAGTGACAGGATTTTGTAGAAGATTACCACTGGTGCTCCAAGCTTCACTGGCCAGAAACTGTCTGTCAGTCACCTAGTGAGAGACAAGATCAAGTTAACATGATTTTTAAAAAGCTATATTGTTTCTAAAATAAAATCTGGATGTCATTGACAATATTTGATACACATTTTTATTTCATTTGCTCACATTTATATTGGCTAGCTGCAGGAACAGTTCCCTCACATCAGTGTACCAGGTAAAGATCAGAATCACCCTCGCAGTCGAGGCTTGAATTGTTAGTGCTGCTCGTCTGGCATCACTCACAATGTTTTCCCTTTGGAGAGTCTCTACAAACGCCAAACACAGCCCTTTCCCCTGAGTCTCCTCCTGGAATACCTGTGATAAATGATGAATGAAACATATTTATGTGGTGTATTTATGAATACATGTTGTATATATAACAATATAAATATAACTGTTCATATAAAACAGTCTACATAACAAATGGAAACACCTTTACTGCCATGTGGCCATAATCGTTGTTTGCTACCACTGCCCCAATCCAGGTCCAACTGAAGCGAACAGCAAGCTGGGCAATGGCCCGAGCTTGATAAATATCACTGGGGATGGTCCTGAAGAAGTTAGGAAATTGGCGCCTGTCACTTAGACAGGGGCAGCTCGACAGGTAGCTAATCTGAAAGTAAAAAGTTTCATCATCAGTTTTTATCATTAAAACATACTTTTTCCTTAAAACTAATTTCCATTCAGATGTTTTTTGTCATTATCCCCAAAAGTTGCTGTGTTGTTTTCTTCTTCTAAGAGGAGACATTTTTACTGCAATTTAGATTAAAGTGAGGTCTTCTCCCAGAGGGCAAAACAAAAGCAGTGCTTCAGGTAAAATATAGTGAATTAAAAGATGGCATCAGCTCTCTGAAATAAGAAGAGAAAAGTTACAATATAGTGTTTAAGCTATATTCCAAACAAAACTCACTAAAGGTACAGAGAGTGGCCCCAGGATTCTGGAGAGTATCTGGCTTGTTACAGACGAAGCACCACCGATGATCAAGGGAACAGGGCGATCACCTGATGACAGTGTTAAAAGATTAAATTCAAGTTTTGTTACATAAAAAAATATTTTAACAGAAACAAAACAATCTTTGGTTCAGTTTTAAACACAGCTTTGTGTTTTCTTTGCCGTCATCATTTAATTTGGTTATGTTATGGACAGAGTACGATATAAAAGCTACCTCTCCTTTCTCCAATTCCCTCTCCAGCAGAATAATCTGGAGGGTCTGTTAAATTACAGCTGGTGCTGTCTCCTCCAACAAGTGACAATGCTGCCTGGAGAGCCCATGGTGGTCGACCACAGCTATCAAAAATATGGTACCCCAGCGTCACACCTGGTAGCAGCGTAGTGCTATTATTGATTTCTTCCACCGCAAACACCATTGCATATACATATTGCAATGGAGAAAGTTCTAAACTGAGACCACAGGAGAGAATGAATGAGAGAAATATCAGTCATCAGTCAGTAAAACTACCAGGACAGATGTAGTTTTACCATAGATGCAAAAAGGCTAATTGCTCTTATACTTTCATTCATTGTACAGTAATGACAGTAAGTAGTACAGCACTGAGGTTTACCCAGTGCAAGGTTTGTAGTGTGGCAGCTGGGTGAAGACGTAGTCTATAGCTGGAGGTTGGTAATGAAGACTAAAGAGACCGCCGATAACTACATCTCCGTCCTGGAACAGACCCTGGTTGCTGAGCGTGCCCCACCGAGAACAAGTCATTGTCTGAACACACTGCAGTCCCACCCTGAGCCCCAGCTGTCTTCCCTCAAGCCCCACAAGGAGCAGGGATGGGGCTAAGGAGGGCCACAGAGTGAAGAGCCAGGATAACCAAGACATGGATGCAGCTGTTCTGGACACTTTAACAGTATGCTTAGTTAGGTTGTTTCTGATAGGCAATACATTCAATATCTATAAACAGTTACTGCAAAGAAAAAAGTTAAATCAGATCAAATTCCTCCCAATGCAGTAAGGAAAAATTGCTGTTTTTGCCTGAAGACATCCACCTGTAGAGAAAAATGACAATTTGAATTGCAAAACTTATATTTTCAAACACCAAACATAACTTCCGTGGCCACTGACTACCTAAACTGTACAATACCCCCCTCCTCCTCAGAACAGCTGAACCGTAGATGTGGGTATTTATAAAAGATGTAAAGCATTTTTGCAAGCAAGTAAACACAATGTCACATGCACACAACCCCAAATCACTCCTCTCAAGGGTGACAGAAAAACAACAGCATGATTGCAAATAATTATGGTTTGTGGAGGTGGTAGAGGTTGAAGTGCAAGTCAGTATAGTATTTTGTCTGTTTTTACCATTAGAACATGGGTATAAAACTGGAATAAATTCACAAAAATGTGGAAAGTTCCAAGGGGGTGATATGAAGATTACAGACTGGATCTTTGACAGATTTTATTTTTTATTGTTAGTATGATTTATTATAATATCATATACAGATCTGGGTACAGATCCATAAATGTGTATACTATTGGATCTGGATACAGGTCCTCATCCAAAATCTCACCATACGTTTTCTTTGTATGCTGAGGATATCTTACTTTTCAGTCTTATATCACAGCATCATACCTGGGGGATTTAAGTGTGTTAAAAGTTTTTTAACTCTTTCTTGGGCAACATCTGTTCTTATAGCTCACAAAATCAGTTGAGTCTTTGTTGTGCTGCATGGGAAACTTGGCTTTTAGCGTGGTAACAAACCAAAAATTGAGATAACAGGTATCACCTATTCAGACATAGAAACACGTTCCACTCTTCATTTTGTAAGGTCAGTGATTCTTAAGTATTAACAAGATTACGCAGGATGTTGGCAGGATTCTTCACTTTCACTCATAAAGATGAATAGAGTTCCTTGGGTACATATTTTTTTCTAAATGCTGCCCGTTCCCTCTTCTTTGCAAAACTTTAATGATCTGGACTGGTTTTACAGAAGCTTCATCTGGAAAAGTAAAATGCAGAGGATCCAGACTATATTACAACTGAGATATCATGGTAGTTTAAAATATTTGATTTATATTAGTGGGCATTTTAAATGAGACCACCGTTCGCTCCTTTGATTCAGATGCGCTGATGACTAAGTGAAGAGGTTATGGTTTAACCAGCAAGGGTTCAAGTTGCCCAAAACAGCTTTAGCTTTCCTTAGGTTCAATAACATTTAATTCAGTACATATACTGTATAGAAACGGTTTAATAATTATTTTGATATTAACCACAAATGGCATTAGAACTCTAATATGTAAGTTCTTATATTCTGAGCACCCTTTCATTACTTTGCCTATAATACTTCAAATGGGCTCATTTCTGGGGTTCTAACTTTCTCTCTAAAATGGCAATTCTTTCAGCTATTGTGAAGTGTAATTTTATGTAACTTCTCTCAAAATTAGTGATCATGGCACAACCTGTGAACCACAAAAAATCAAACGACAAAAACATAACCTTGCAACTCACTTTTATTTTTGGTTATTAATGTTATTTATCTTATGCAGTACAATGTTTGTTACACTAGTAATAGTGGCAACCATTGAATTAAAACAGGCCTATATTTTCATTTTTCATTTCTATATTTTGATTGCATTGTTTGAAAAATATACAAAATGCATTTTTTTTATCCATAACACAAACAATTCAGTTGACAGTGTGAATAAACTTGATAATATGTTGTCAAACAAATGACAGTAGCTAGCAGACAGTAGCAGAAATTCATCACTCACAATATATATGTCAGAAAGACCACAGAGTACTATATAGATTAATAATGATGTAATAACTTAATATATTGCTTTACTTTTTAATCAATATCTGATATATTACTTGAAGTGTTATTTTTAATTTTTTTCCCTCTCATTTCTTAAGTCACATCATGCATTTTTATTTTCTTTGCTACCTGCCCATCAGGTGTTTCTTGGTGTTTTTCTCAGGCCTCAAAAGAATGATGAAACATTTGGGGGCAAAAATGCAGAGCAGTAACCCATAGCTGGAGGCCAGGATTGCAAAAATCTCTACAGCAACTGCATATTTTCCAGGAGAGCTAACGTAAGCAGGGACAAAAGCTACCCAGACAGCACAGAATATCAGCATGCTGAAGGTGATCAGTTTGGCCTCATTGAAGTTGTCAGGGAGTTTCCGAGCAAGAAAGGCCAAGAGGAGACTGGTGCAGGCCAGCAGGCCAATGTAGCCCAGAACCAGAGAGAAGCCCACCACAGAGGCCATGGCACACTTCAGGGTGACCTGTAATCCCGGGATATCCAAGTCAGCTTGGGGCACCGGAGGGCTCAGCAATAGCCAAATAATGCAGATGATAACCTTAATGGGGGAAAAAAACATTGCACAATGTCAGGGAATGTATGTAGCAATATAATAATTTGAATACTAGAGAATTTTTTCATTAAAAAATGCATGTGCAATTCTGACTTGTATACAGGTAAAGAGGCAGACACTTCCTCTCTGTTGGCCTGGACCAAACCACTTCATTAAGGCTCCAGCACCAGGCCGAGCTGAGCGGAAAGCTGCAAGAACTACTATCGTCTTGACTTGGAGGCAGGAAACACAAAGTACAAAGCTGATCCCAAAAGCTGCCTGCTGGAACCGACAAGACCAGACTGATGGACGACCAATGAAGACCAGTGAGCACAGGAAGCAGAGCTTCAGCGACAGGAGAAGCAGGAAGCTCAGTTCTGAATTGTTGGCTCTTACCTTTAACATGAGAATTTGGATTAAATTGATATTAAAAAGACAAGCACCCCTTTGTAGAAAAAGTGAATTTTTGGGTTCTCACCATAGGTGTTTGGCGGTAGCAAATAAACACCACAAACACAGCTGTTGTCACCGCAGCACCAGACACAGCTACTGTAGTCAGAGTAATGCCCAAAGTTTCATTAAAGGAAAGGAAGTCCAGCTGACGTGGAACACAGGCTGTTTGTTTAGCATTGGACCAGAACTCAGAAGGACAACGCTGACAGTGAAGGGAACCTGGGAGAGGAAGACACACAAAAGAGGGAAGGAGGACATATTTAAATGGGAAAACTGCAGATGAGCTGAATGCATTATACAAAGTCAGGGTTACTGCATATTGGCAGATTGTGTTATTGCAAATTCAGTACTGACAGGATAAAATATTTATTGGAATTTCTTATGTAATGATTTCCTCACCAATTTTATTGCTAATCTCCCCATCAGCACATGGGATACAGTCAAAGCAGCAGAGAGGTTCTCCTTTCCTGTTGGCCTTTCGGGTACCTGGGGGGCAGCTCTCACTGCACACTGAAACAGGCACCTAAACAAAAAGTTAAACTATTTTCTCATGTACATACATATGTCTTGAATCACAGAAAAGATTTAATTCGATACACATTTTGTTAGTGGCCTCAAGATTATTACTTTATAACCACCTGACTGGATCCTGTGCTCCACTGAATAGCTGACTCATTCAGTTGTAGATCAAACCCGTCCACACGACCAATCAAGACAAGTTTTTGTGACCCCTCAGGGGTCTTTTGCCAGTTGACAAGGTCGTACTTTGCTGGAATGTCGCCCCCTTGGAAATATAACAGTTCACCCTGTGGTGTGGTGAAATTCAAGTTGTTCAAGTGCTGCAACAGCTGAAAGCATCAAATTGTTTAAATAGTAAATATTTTACTTAAAGTAGGTTAAAAGTATTGGCACTTTGTTTTATGTGACAAATGCAACTGCTTAATGTCCCCATTACATGGTGAAAGTCTAAATGCATTTCACACAAGTGTGGAAATATACATAATTGTGTTTACCTCTATGGGTTTTATGTGTTTTGGAGAGGAGCAAATGGAACTGTTGTTTCCAGAAGGGCTGTCTCTGTCAGGGCAGGACAGAAGGCTGTGAAGGGCGTGGGCTGCAGCATAAACAGCAAGATATACATTATATGTCACCCTTAGCTGAGAAGTGTCAGTAAAGAGATTCTGCACTCCCTCCAGGGACTCTGTCCCACTGCAGGGTGGTAGAGTAGCTTTTTGAAGCAACCTGTTAGCATTAGCTGGTGGTAGAGAGGCATATGAATAAAGAGATGTGGCCGCAGGGCTACAACCAAACTCATTTTCCCAGAATTCTTTTAAAATTTCATCGTGAGGGCGACGAGATGGGTGCAAACTTCTGAGATAATTTTCAAATCCAGGTATAGGTGAACTTCGAATGGCCACACCAAGAACACCTTTTGCCACTTTAGAAGTGACAGGATTTTGTAGAAGATTACCACTGGTGCTCCAAGCTTCACTGGCCAGAAACTGTCTGTCAGTCACCTAGTGAGAGACAAGATCAAGTTAACATGATTTTTAAAAAGCTATATTGTTTCTAAAATAAAATCTGGATTGCATTGACAATATTTGATACACATTTTTATTTCATTTGCTCACATTTATATTGGCTAGCTGCAGGAACAGTTCCCTCACATCAGTGTACCAGGTAAAGATCAGAATCACCCTCACAGTCGAGGCTTGAATTGTTAGTGCTGCTCGTCTGGCATCACTCACAATGTTTTCCCTTTGGAGAGTCTCTACAAACGCCAAACACAGCCCTTTCCCCTGAGTCTCCTCCTGGAATACCTGTCGCATATGGTTGAAAGGAGCAAAAAGATTAGACTAATTAAGTATTATATTATTATTATATATTTATTAATGTGGATTTCTTGTATAGATGCCATAACATTTCTCCTACAAAAAATGGAAACACCTTTACTGCCATGTGGCCATAATCGTTGTTTGCTACTACTGCACCGATCCAGGTCCAATTGAAGCGAATGGCAAGCTGGGCAATGGCCCGAGCTTGATAAATATCACTAGGCATGGTTCTGAAGAAGTTAGGAAATTGGCGCCTGTCACTTAAACAGGGGCAGCTGGCTGTGTAGCTCATCTAAAAGACAAACAAACATACAGTACATAGCTACATAGATATTCTGAAATAACATAATTATTCCGAAATATTACATAAAGTTTTCACATTGTGAAAAATAGAAGTATAGTTATTTTATCAATCAAATTTTAATTTAAAGTGTTTTTCTTTATCTTCTACATAAACCAATAAAAATTGCAGAATTTAATCAAACTCACTAGCGGTACAGAGAGTGGCCCCAGGACTCTGCAGAGTATCATGGCTGTTATAGATGAGGAACCACCAATGATCAAAGGAACAGGCCGATCACCTGATGGCATTATAAAACATACTGATATAAAGTCATTTATTAAACAAACATAATACTTAGTTCTGTTTAAACACAACATTACAGTGTTTATGCTGTCATAATTATATTCATGATGTTATTAATTGAGAAGTACATCAGTTCCATGCAAAGCTTGATTTAGTACCTCTGCTTTCTCCAGCTCCCTCTCCATACCCAGCAGAATAATCTGGCAGGGCTTCTGAATTACAGCTGGTGCTGTCTCCTCCAACCAGTGACAGTGCTGCCTGCATAGCCCAAGGAGGCAGGGCACAGCTATCATGAATATGGTAGCCCAGCTGCACATTTGGTAGCAAGGTTGAGCTATGATTGATTTCCTCCAGCGCAAACAACATAGCGTATATGTACTGTAATGGGAGATTTTCCAAACTGAGACCACAGGAAATAAGGAATGAGAAAAATATCAGTTGCAAAGCTGCTAATCTGTTGCTAGGTAATAATTTTGTATCATTATTGGATAAGCAAATATATCAGCTTTTTAACAACACAATTAATATCTGAAAGTGAAGGAACCACGAATAATTAAGGTAAGATATTAAGATAATAAGATACAGCTAAAATAGGTCTTGTGTGTCAAACATATTCATATGTATTATACAGTATTCACACTTGACAATGCAGTTCAGAGTTTTACCCAGTGCAAGGTTTGTAGTGTGGCAGCTGAGTGAAGTCATGGGCTGTAGCTGGAGGTTGATAGTGAAGACTAAACAGCCCACCAATAACTACATCTCCATCCTGGAATAGACCCTGGGCACTCGGTGTTCCCCACCGAGAACAAGTCATTGTCTGAACCACCTGCAAGCCAACCCTGAGCCCCAGCTGTCTGCCCACAAGCCCCACAAGGAGCATGGATGGGGCCAAGGAGGGCCACAGAGTGAAGAGCAAGGAGAACCAAGACATGGATGGAGCTGTTCTGGAAAGTTTAAATATGTGCAGTATATTCAGTTACATAACGTCTCATTGGAACAAATTAGAGGTGCAATAAACATTTAACAGTTCCTGAAATGAAAAATTCTTCTTAATGTAGGAAATTAAAGTTAATATGTTGGTCTTGAGAAGTCCACCTGCAAAGCAAAATGATTTTAGTGACAAAAATGCATGTTATGACAGGTGCAACTTGCACTGACAACAGACAGTTATCTAAAGCATGACATACCCCTCCTCCTGCTCTGCAAAACATAGATGTTGTTCTGGATATTTATAACAGCTGTAAAGCCCACGGTGGAATGATAGTAAACAGGATAACGCTGCATCAAATAGATTTTCATTTTAATAAATTAATCCACAGGGTCTCACAAAAAACAGGGCCACACCTCTCACGCCTTCTCTTGGCTGCATAACCACCCTGTTATGTCAATAAAGGTTCAGTATGAAGACCTTTTGGAAAATGTACATACACGGTATTATTATTGTGATGGAAAGTAAAAAGGACAATGCTTTATATATATATATATATATATATATATATATAGTATTACAATAACTAGCAGTAAGTCCAAATCAATCTATCCATGGAGATAATTATGATTTAATTTGTCAAGGTTTCGAGATATTCAATCAACAGCAACATCGCTGAGACCTCACTGTGGACTTACTGAATGGGTCATTTTTTTAGTAGAAAATAGTTCCAATGGTTCCAATGAAATTTGTCTAGTGTACCATGCACAAATGTCCGATAAAGGTATACCTTTAAGGACCTGACAGGCAAAGCAGTAATTGCCCACTGGTTCAGGCCTAGCACCACCTTGCATCATCCAGCCAGGAAGCAGCAGTTCTCCAAGGTTGATGCAGCTCTCCCCTTCTTTAAGTCAAGTCTTTTAGTCAAAAGAATGCAGACTTGAGCATGAGCCATTTCAGCTCAAATGGCTCATGCTGAAAGGCTTCCAACATTAACTCTAAATCCCATGATTGGACAGGTTGCCTTCTTCAGAGCGGAGTAAGGCCAGAGGTATACTTGCTTATAAGCTTTTAACTATGAATTTGCATGGTGGCAGATCTGATACATCTGTGATGCAAAACGCATGGTTAAAAAGTCAGTATATCTCCGGCTCAACCCCTACGATTTCCATAGAAAAACAAAGTGATGAGGTCACAACAACCCTTTGATAGTTTCCAAAGTGTCCCCAACATTTCCAGAGCACAGTGGCAAACATATGAAGAGTGCAGGAGCATCTTATTTGCATCTAGGCAAAACATGGCAGATGTTTTCTAGCAAGATGTGGCTCCTCTCCATCCAGGAGGCCATGGCCTTGCCAGTCACCGCCATCTGCCCTTCCAGCTTAACTAGAAGCGAGAAAACCTGCTACTCCACTTTTTCTGTTAGCTGCCACTGATACAAGGCACGAATATAGTCCACATTGTATTCTAGTGAGTTCGACATGCATCTGCTTCTGCAAGATAACAGGGGACACAAAGTCAGTATATTCTTGCCTTGTATCAGTGGCAGCTAGCAGAAAAAGTGGAGTAGCAGGTTTTCTTACTTACAGTAAAAATTAGGGTTTGCATGCTGTCAATTTACAAAATGAAAATGAGTTGGGGAAGCAAGTCTGACTTTGCTCAGGCTCATTGGGCCTGGATGGCTGCTTCTAAAGGGCATAGGGTCATCTCATCAGTAAAATGAAAATTAGTTCATGTCGGTTACGCGAGGAGGTACTTATGAGCCGCAGGTGTGATATTCCTCACCTCCATCATTGTTCATTTTACAAGCAATTACATCCCATTACACACTGACAGAGAGGTGGCACTGAGGGGAAAAATTAAGCTGTATGCATGGTTGTTGTTGTTTTTCATGGCTTTGCAGGTGATAGCTAGCACACTGCTATCATTTTAAAACAAAATATCTACAGTAGATCAATTATTCTCTATGCAAATTTGGAACAGATTGAATAATGTTGCCCTCAAACACTATGACAGATCCAGTTTCTGCATTATCAAAAACACAAGTGAAAAGGAAGAAAGGTTGCAATAAGCTTTATTATATTTCATACTGGCTTTACCTTCTACCTATGCACTCACTGTGATGCATTCAGTTTGACGGTCAGTTATGCACAACACCTCTCACCCCTGCCTGCTGTGGGGTCCCTGAGCAACTCCTTCAGCAACAGACTGCTGCACACATAGTGCGAGGAGAAGGAGCACTACAGCAGTTCCTTCATCCCAACAGCTATCAGACTCTTTAACTCAGTAACAACATAATGAAGCCCCATTTTGTCTCTGTAACATCTGTCAACACTTATCACAGTCAGTTTTTTTTTTTTGCACTATTTAATACACAATTTGCACTATTACTACTATACTGTTTCACACACATATATATGTCCTACACACACATAACTAGTAATTAGACCTGTACTGTATTTTCATACCCTAGTCTATATTTTCTGCTAAGCTATACTGCTGTGTATATATTTTTGTCCTGTGCTATTATTTATTTTTTACACCATGCCACTATGTCCTGCTGTAGCCTGTGCAATGTTCCATATATCAATCACATCTGTATAAAAAAGTTGTATATAGTATACTACTACTCTTATTCTATTTTTTTATTATGTTGTATTTTTCTATTCTATTTCTTTGTGTATTTTTCTTATCTGCTGTTTTGTATCTGGAGCTGCTGTACCGAGTGAATTTCCCCAGTGTGGGATCAAAAAAGTCTATTAACTACAGAATAGATTCTCTTGATCAGTACTTAGATTAGAGAATGTTACTGAATATTACTTTTAAAGCAAATACTTAAATTAACAGTAGAGAATGACAGAGAATATGTTGCACAGCTGCACATGATCATTTCAGATGTACAACTGCAAGTCCCACAAGGAAGAAACCTTGTTGAGAAATGAGGACAGAAGCTTCACAGCATCTTTAAATGGTATAATACTTCCATCTAGTGGTTGTTATTCAGTATGTGCAGTTTAAGCAAGACGATGTCCATGTTGTCAGGCCTCATCATTCCATATTTAAAGTGTATTAAGTGTAGAATAATGTATAGCAGATTTTAATAATTTTCTCACTGATATGATTTTGATATCAATATCAACTTTTGGATGAGACATTCTGAAGCCCCAGTTTTTTAATAGCAGGTAGCCTAAACTTATTTTAACCAAATATGTCAAGCCAGAACATATGACATTGACCCACTGTGAAAGTGAAATGTTTTTATTATTCACTTTGAAGTAATGCATGTATAAAGTATAATGAAAATAACATACAATGGTACACCCGCTACATAATTTGTCACAATTAAACATGTGTGCAAGAAAGGTACATAGATATCAAACATATCTAATTTAAATGTGTTTCTTTAATGTCTAAAGACGTCTAAGAAAAGAAGAAATTTTCAGTTTCAGTTCAGCTTTAACTATGTTTGGATGAAAGACATTTATTTTTTTACCTTATAGAGCTCATTAAGAATGAACATTATTTAGATTTAATGATTTGAAAAAACATATACACACAAATGCATGCATTATATCACCAGAAAAATATGAGTCATGTGCTCACATTCAAGAAAACTACAGAATAACTATCTGGCCATCAAGTGTTTCTTAGTGTTTTTGTCAGGCCTCAAGAGAATGATGAAACATTTGGGGGCAAAAATGCAGAGCAGTAACCCATAGCTGGAGGCCAGAATTGCAAAAATTTCCACAGCGACAACATACTTCCCAGGAGAGCTAACGTAAGCAGGGACAAAGGCAACCCAGACAGCACAGAATATCAGCATGCTGAAGGTGATCAGTTTGGCCTCATTGAAGTTGTCAGGGAGTTTCCGAGCAAGAAAAGCCAAAAGAAGGCAGGAGCAGGCCAGCAGACCAATGTAGCCCAGAACCAGAGAGAAGCCCACCACTGAGGCCATGGCACACTCCAGTGTGACCTTTGACCCTTGGAAACCCAGATCAGGTTGAGGCACTGGGGGACTGAGGGACAACCATATGGCACAGATGATAACCTGAATGAAAAGTAAACACATTTCAGTGATATGTTTTCATACACAGTGCACTTGATCATATATATGATAAAATGTTCTCATCATTTAATCAATAAAACAATAATAACACCTGTATACAGGTAAAGAGGCAGACACTTCCTCTCTGTTGTCCTGGACCAAACCACTTCAACAAGGTTTCTGCACCAGGTCGAGCTGAGCGGAAAACAGCAAGAACCACGAGGGTTTTCACCAGAAGGCAGGAAACACAAAGTACAAAGCTGATCCCAAAAGCTGCCTGCTGGAACTGACAAGACCAGACTGATGGACGACCAATGAAGACCAGTGAGCACAGGAAGCAGAGTTTCAGCGACAGGAGAAGCAGAAAGCTCAGCTCTGAATTGTTGGCTCTCACCTACAGGTGAATCGGATTAACAGACAAAGATGTGGCAATTTCAACAATGCAGTATTTTTTCAGAGAGAAATGTGAAAGAATTTCAAAAGCAACAAACTCCCTGTTATGTCACTCTGGGTTCTTACCATAGGTGTTTTCCGGTAGTAAAGAAACACCACAAACACAGCTGTTGTCACAGCGGCACCAGACACAGCTGCTGTAGTCAGAGTAATGCCCAAAGTTTCATTGAAGGACAGGAAGTCCAGCTGACGTGCTACGCAGGCTGTTTGTTCAACATTAGACCAGAACTCAGAAGGACAACGCTCACAGTGAAGGGAACCTGGGAGAGGAGAAAATGAGAGAGAGGGAAGGAAGATAAAACACAAAGAGGAAAATTAAGATGACATGATGATTAGGTCATGTTATGTAGTGAGTTTCTCACCAGTTTTATTGCTAATCTCCCCATCAGCACATGGGAGACAGTCAAAGCAGCAGAGAGGTTCTCCTTTCCTGTTGGCCTTTCGGGTACCTGGGGGGCAGCTCTCACTGCACACTGAAACAGGCACCTAAGCAAAAAGACAGTTCATATTCTCAATTTTGTAGTAAGACATTAATTTAAACTGCATTTTTTTTCAGTAGCCTTGAGACAACTTGTTGATCTGACTACCTGATTGGATCCTGTGCTCCACCGAATAGCTGACTCATTAAGATGGATGTTGAACCCATCTACACGACCAATCAAAACAAGTTTGAGTGACCCCTCAGGGGTCTTTTGCCAGTTGACAAGGTCATATTTTGCTGGAATGTCGGCCCCTTGGAAATAAAACATTTCCCCTTGTGGTGTGGTGACGTTCACTTTGTTCAAGTGATGCAACAGCTGAAAACATTAAATGTTGAAAAAGTGTGTATGCGTAAAATGTAAATTCAGTTTCAGGACTATTATTTGCGTGGATAAGATGACACAGACAGCTATCTTTATGTTTACCTCTATGGGTTGGATGTGTTTTGGAGAGGAGCATGTGGAACTGTTGTTTCCAGGAGGGCTGTCTTTGTCGGGGCAGGACAGAAGGCTGTGAAGGGCGTGGGCTGCAGCATAAACAGCCAGATAGATATTATATGCCACCCTTAGCTGAGAGGTGTCAGTGAAAGGATGCTGCACTCCCTCCAGGGACTCTGTTCCACTGCAGGGTGGTAGAGTAACTTTCTGGAGGGAGAGCTTCTCTACCCGGCTGGCAGGAGCAGAAGTATTTGACTGATTTTTTTGTGGTGAAGAGAAATATAAAGAGAGAGGTGTTGCATTTGATTGTGTAGCTTCAGGACTGCATCCAAACTCGTTTTTCCAGAGGTCCCGTAAGAATTCATCATCAGGATGATTAATTGGGTGCAAACGCCTGAGATAATTTTCAAATCCAGGTATTGTTGAACTTCGAATGGCCACACCAAGAACACCATTTGCCACTTCAGAGATGGTAAGATCTTGGAGAAGATCATCACTGGTACTCCAAGCCTCACTGGCCAGAAACTGTCTGTCTGTCACCTATGACAAGAAAAAAAGCATTTGTTCTCACAAAATATATGTCTTTGTTAAACAATGAACCCTTTAGTTTACACAAATTTCCATTCCAGTTGCTCACATTGATCTTGGTCAGTTCCAGAAATACTTTCTTTACATCAGTGTACCAGCAGAAGATCAGAATCACCCTCGTAGTCGAAGCTTGAATTGTGAGTGCTGCTCGCCTGGCATCACTCACAATATTTTCCCTTTGGAGAGTCTCTACAAATTCTAGACACACCTCTTTTCCCTGAATCTCCTCCTGAAATACCTGAAATATTAATGGAAAAACAAATATTGGTATGTTAATATATATCTTATTTGTACTACATATGAAGGAGATACATGAGAGACTTTTCGATTTAATTTACAGTATAATAACAAAAACATACACCTGTATTGCCAATTGACCATAATCATTGTTTTCTACCACTGCTCCCATCCAAGTCCAGTGGAAGCGTATGGCCAGTTGTGCCATGGCCCGTGCTTGGTAAATATCACTGGGGATTGTTCTGAAGAAGTTAGGAAACTTTGCCCTGTCACTAAGACAGGGGCAACTAGCCAAGTAGCTGATCTGAAGGCCAGACACAGAATCAGGTTTTTGACATTAATTTTACAGCAATAACACCATTTTATTTTTAATCAAAATGTTTTAACAATTACATCAGCCTCTTCATATAGACTAGAAAAAAAGGTGAATCTGGGGTAATGAAACTCACAACTGGCACAGAGAGAGGCCCCAGGATCCTGGAGAGCATTATGCCTGTTGTAGATGAAGCAGCAGCAATGAGCAATGGAACAGGTTGACTGCCTGCTGAAGGCATTAGACATATAATTACATAACAACAATCTTTTTTATAACACAATCATATCAGTTGTTATTTTCATGGACATAGCAAATATTAACTGCATACTAAATTATATCAAGTCATACCTGCTGTCTCTTCAGGTTGTTCATAAGCTGCAGGATGAGGTATAGAGGCTGCTACGTTACAGCTGTGTGTGTCTCCTCCGACCATTGACATTGCACCTTGCAGAGCCCAGGGGTATCGGGAACAGCTATCAAGTATGTGGTAGCCCAGCTTCACTCCTGGTAGCAGGGTGCTGTTACGATTGATTTCCTCCACCGCAAACACCATAGCATATGTATATTTCAACGGCTCTAAATCTAAACTGAGACCACATTAAGACAGGAACTGTGAATGAAATACACTACAATATCAGCTGAAAGATAACAATAATTATCATGGACATGAATATAGAAATAGCAAGTACATAAAATATGTATACATGCCAATATAAATCTTTTAATTAGTACACTATGAACAAAATGTTTTTATCTCATGTATAACTTTGCTTTTTTTCCTTAAAAATGAACCTATTATTAAACATTATGAGTTCTATAAATATTGCATAACATGCACATGACAGAAAATATTGAAAAATACAGAAAATGTGCTGTCTTCATATGAACAACATAATAATCACCAGAAATTCAACAACAAAAATGCATGCTGTAATTAAGTTTTACCCGGTGCAAGGTTCATAATGTGGCAGCTCTGTGAAGCCCTGCTCTACAGCTGATGGTATATAAAACAGATTAAACAGTCCGCCAATAATCACGTCTCCATCCTGGGAGAGGCTCTTGTTCCTTGGTGCACCCCACCTGGAGCACAGTATCGCCTGAACCACTTCCAGCCCCACTACACTGAGAAGCAAGAGTAAGAGGGCTGAGGAGGGCCACTGAGTTAGGAGCCAGAGGAACCAAGACATGGATGTTCTGGACATGTAACACATAAACATAATTGTTATCTAGATGTCTGCACCAAACATAGGAGCAATTAATTCAGTCTGTTTTAAAAAACAATTCACATCAAACCCGACAGAAGAGGTACCTCGTGTTCAACAGTCCCTGTTACCAAAGACAAATCCCATTAAAGTCAACATGTCCAAATGAAACATCATAGCTTGATGTCAGTTACCTGCAAAAATAAAAGATGTTATTAGCAGAAACATGTTGCACTCAGTTAAAAAGCTCCTATCACAAGACAATTTTCAGTTCTTGACTAAAACATATTGTACCCCCACTCTGCGTGAGCCAAGTGTTGTTGTGAGTATTTATAATAGGCGTAAAGCGTTTTCAGTAAAACTGATGACACAAGCAGCACACAACCAAAAGATATTCCTCTCTAGAGTGATGGTGGAAAAACAATCAAATAAAGTGATTAGTGTGTATGAAGTCAGCAGAAGGCAAAAAGCCTTCAGGCAGCATAACTTCAGAATAGATGCACTTGAGGATGTACAGATAACATGCAACCTCACTCTCAGGTTTATTTTCAAGATAGCTTATTATTAGTTTCTTGATGACAATTATGAAATCAGCTATTTTATGTTGCACCACTAATTTGCCATGGATAGTTATGTTCCTCAGCTCATCTGAACTTTTAGCTGAGGTGTCACATCAGGATACTTATGGAAATATAGATATAATTGCTCTTCAAATGTATCATTTTTGTCGTACTGCAACAGAATAATGCATCCACAAACACTTGAAAGGAAACCGCTATCCTTATTTTGATCAAATATTATATAAAAAGGTGAAATGATATTTCAGTTGTATTTCGCTTGGGCCCTGATGGGGGGCTATAGCCACGAACAGCAACCCCTTTTCTGTGAATAACTAATCTACTAATGTAATGTTATTTCCTTTAAAATATTTTGTTTTCTGAGAAACTGAGAGTTTTATTCAGCTGAGGTACTATTTTTATTTAAAACACAGAAAAAAAGAACAACCAAATACATGATTACAAAATACATTAATAACATTTTAGTAAGGAGCATTGAATCTAAATTTGTAATTTTCTTTAATGGTCGATACATAATGTTACATTGGCATTTAATGATGTCTAAGAACAGCGAAAATATTGTTATATATTCAGTTAGCAATGAAAGCTATAACTATGTGTGGGTGCAAGACATTAGTTTACTTCATAAAGCTAAGCACAAGAATGAACATTATTTAGAGGATTTTACATAACACATGCACATGAGCACATGCATTATATAGGGCCGGGGCAAGCTGGGGGGCCACCAGGCAAATATGATGAAGAGTCATGTGCTCACATTCAAGCCAGAAAATCTATCTGGCCATCAGGTATTTCTTAGTGTTTTTGTCAGGCCTCAAGAGAATGATGAAACATTTGGGGGCAAAAATGCAGAGCAGCAACCCATAGCTGGAGGCCAGGATTGCAAAAATTTCCACAGCAACAACATACTTCCCAGGAGAGCTAACGTAAGCAGGGATAAAGGCAACCCAGACAGCACAGAATATCAGCATGCTGAAGGTGATCAGTTTGGCCTCATTGAAGTTGTCAGGGAGTTTCCGAGCAAGAAAAGCCAGAAGAAGGCAGGAGCAGGCCAGCAGGCCAATGTAGCCCAGAACCAGAGAGAAGCCCACCACTGAGGCCATGGCACATTCCAGCGTGACCTTTGACCCTCTGAAACCCAGATCAGGTTGAGGCACTGGGGGACTGAGGGACAACCATATGGCACAGATGATAACCTGAATGAAAAGTAAACACATTTCAGTGATATGTTTTCATACACAGTGCACTTGATCATATATATAATAAAATGTTCTCATCATTTAATCAATAAAACAATAATAACACCTGTATACAGGTAAAGAGGCAGACACTTCCTCTCTGTTGTCCTGGACCAAACCACTTCAACAAGGTTTCTGAACCAGGTCGAGCTGAGCGGAAAACAGCAAGAACCACAAGGGTTTTCACCAGAAGGCAGGAAACACAAAGTACAAAGCTGATCCCAAAAGCTGCCTGCTGGAACTGACAAGACCAGACTGATGGACGACCAATGAAGACCAGTGAGCACAGGAAGCAGAGTTTCAGCGACAGGAGAAGCAGAAAGCTCAGCTCTGAATTGTTGGCTCTCACCTACAGGTGAATCGGATTAACAGACAAAGATGTGGCAATTTCAACAATGCAGTATTTTTTCAGAGAGAAATGTGAAAGAATTTCAAAAGCAACAAACTCCCTGTTATGTCACTCTGGGTTCTTACCATAGGTGTTTTACGGTAGTAAAGAAACACCACAAACACAGCTGTTGTCACAGCGGCACCAGACACAGCTGCTGTAGTCAGAGTAATGCCCAAAGTTTCATTGAAGGACAGGAAGTCCAGCTGACGTCCTACGCAGGCTGTTTGTTCAACATTAGACCAGAACTCAGAAGGACAACGCTCACAGTGAAGGGAACCTGGGAAAGGAGAAAATGAGAGACAAGGAAGAAAAATAAAACACAAAGAGGAAAATTAAGATTACAAATTTTACATTACAAACATTTCTGTCATGTTATGTAATGATTTTCTCACCAGTTTTATTGCTAATCTCCCCATCAGCACATGGGAGACAGTCAAAGCAGCAGAGAGGTTCTCCTTTCCTGTTGGCCTTTCGGGTACCTGGGGGGCAGCTCTCACTGCACACTGAAACAGGCACCTAAACAAAAAGACAGTTCATATTCTCAATTTTGTAATAAGACATTAATTTAAACTGCATTTTTTTTCAGTAGCCTTGAGACAACTTGTTGATCTGACTACCTGATTGGATCCTGTGCTCCACTGAATAGCTGACTCATTAAGATGGAGGTTGAACCCATCTACACGACCAATCAAAACAAGTTTGAGTGACCCCTCAGGGGTCTTTTGCCAGTTGACAAGGTCATACTTTGCTGGAATGTCGGCACCTTGGAAATAAAACGTTTCCCCTTGTGGTGTGGTGACATTCACTTTGTTCAAGTGATGCAACAGCTGAAAGAAGAAACTGTGTATGAAAAATACATATATTCAGTTGAAGAACTAATTATTTGGATAGGATGACACAGTGATATTCTCATTTACCTCTCTCGATTTGATGTGTTTTGGAGAGGCGCATGTGGAACTGTTGTTTCCAGAAGGGTTGTCTCTATCGGGGCAGGACAGAAGGCTATGAAGGGCGTGGGCTGCAGCATAAACAGCAAGATATACATTATATGCCACCCTTAGCTGAGAGGTGTCAGTGAAAGGATGCTGCACTCCCTCCAGGGACTCTGTTCCACTGCAGGGTGGTAGAGTAGCTTTCTGGAGGAAGAGTTTCTCTACCCGGCTGGAAGTATTTGACAGATAGTCATTTTTTAGTGGTGAAGAAAAATATAAAGAGAGAGATGTTGCATTTGATTGTTTAGCTTCAGGACTGCATCCAAACTCCTCTTTCCAGAGGTCGCGTAAGAGTGCATCATCGGGACGATTAATTGGGTGCAAACGCCTGAGATAATTTTCAAATCCAGGTATTGTTGAACTACGAATGGCCACACCAAGAACACCATTTGCCACTTCAGAGATGGCAATGTCTTGGAGAAGATCATCACTGGTACTCCAAGCCTCACTGGCCAGAAACTGTCTGTCAGTCACCTACAGTGAGAGGATACTGAAATAAATCATGATAAGAAAAATGTTGTTCTTGCATGTCTTGGTTAAATGATGAACCCCTTAGTCTAGACATATTTGCATGCTAGTTGCTCACATTTATCTTGGTCAGTTCCAGAAATACTTTCTTTACATCTGTATACCAGCAGAAGATCAGAATCACCCTCGCAGTCGAAGCTTGAATTGTGAGTGCTGCTCGCCTGGCATCACTCACAATAGTTTCTCTGTGGACAGTTTCTATGAATTCCAAACACACCCCTTTCCCCTTAGTCTCTTCCTGAAATACCTGAAATACGGAAGTAATAACAAGAAATATGTTCATACATACCTATATCTTATTTGTAATATACACAAAGGACATACAAAAGAGACTTTTTCAGGCATTTTATAATTTAAAAAAATATATACACCTGTATTGCCAATTGACCATAATCATTGTTTACTACCACTGCTCCCATCCAAGTCCAGTGGAATCGTATGGCCAGTTGTGCCATGGCCCGGGCTTGGTAAATATCACTGGGGATTGTTCTGAAGAAGTTAGGAAACCTTGTCCTGTCACTAAGACAGGGGCAACTAGCCAAATAGCTGATCTGAAGGAAAGACATACAGTTTTGATCGAAATGTTTTAAATCGTATCAGCCTTTTGCTGTTGACTGTACACAAAAGGTAAATCAGAGGTTTATTTTCTGGGTTAATGAAACTCACAATTGGCACGGAGAGAGGCCCCAGGGTCCTAGACAGTATTATGCCTGTTGTAGATGAAGCAGCAGCAATGAGCAACGGAACAGGTTGACCTCCTGCTGAAAAAATCTTTTTTATAATACAATCATAATAGTTGTTGGACATAGCAAATGTTAACTGCATACTAAATTATATCAAGTCATACCTGCTGTCTCTTCAGGTTGTTCATAAGCTGCAGAATGAGGTATAGAGGCTGCTATGTTACAGCTGTGTGTGTCTCCTCCGACCATTGACATTGCACCTTGCAGAGCCCAGGGGTATCGGGAACAGCTATCAAGTATGTGGTAGCCCAGCTTTACTCCTGGTAGCAGAGTGCTGTTACGATTGATTTCCTCCACCGCAAACACCATAGCATATGTATATTTCAACGGCTCTAAATCTAAACTGAGACCATGGGAAGAAAGGAAAAGTGAGTAAAATAAACTTCAAAATCAATTAGTAAAAGAAACTTAATCATGGAAATGTATTCATTCATAACCGTTAATATCCCAAAATATGTATGGAAAAATACACAATAATCATAGCTTCATATCCTTCCAGCTCAGATTAGAATTAATCTTGCCTGTATGATAACAAAAACATATGAACATGACAATAAGTCATCATATGAACAACATAAAAACCACAAGACATTCAACAGCAACACATGTTCTGATTAAGTTTTACCCGGTGCAATGTTTATAATGTGGCAGCTCGGTGAAGCTCTGCTCTACAGCTGAAGGTATATAATATAGATTAAACAGTCCTCCAATAATCACATCTCCATCCTGGGAGAGCTTCTTTTCGCTCGGTGCACCCCACCGGGAGCACAGTATCGCCTGAACCACCTCCAGCCCCAAGTGTCGGCCCACTACACTGAGAAGCAGCAGGGAGAGCGCTGAGGAGTACCACCGAGTGAGGAGCCAGAGGAACCAAGACATGGATGCAGCTGTTCTGGACATTCAACACATATAAACAATTGTAATCTGAATATCAGAATATGCACAAAAAATGCAATTAATGCATTAAAACACAATTCACATCCAACCTGACCAAAATGTGCATTGAGTTCAGAAATTCTTTTTAAAGTACCTTGTAGACAATGTTAAACAGTTCCTGTTATCAAAGACAAATCCCATTAAATTCAAATGTCATCATAACTTCATGTCACCTGCAAACAGAAATCACAAATCAATCAAAAGACAATTTTCAACTCTGAAAAAGGTATCTTGACTAAAACATACCCCCCTTCCCACTTTGCACATGTGAAGTGTTGATGTGAGTATTTATAATAGGTGTAAAGCGTTTGGCAAGGAAGAAAACTGATGACACAAGCAGAACACAACAAAAAATGATTCCTCTCTAGAGTGATAGTGGAAAAACAATCGAATTCTAGCTAGTTAGCAGTGACGTGTGTGTATGTGTGTATGTTATGTTTCCTATAGATACAATACTGCATGATGTTGTTTGAATTAAGGTAAATGAGATGCTGTACTGAAAGATAAGCAAGTGAAATGTTTTGGCTGTTTAACTCTTATCTTAATCAGCTGAAAAGTTGAAACAGAACTGTATGTGTCCTTTTTGCTTAGATATACAAGGAATATTTTACTGTGATTGATTCATAAAACTTATCAAAGTGTAGGTGAGTCTAGGTTGAAACCAGTATGGGGAATTGTATGCCCGGAGCAACAGGTGTGCCATTTGTCAGCTCTATTAAACAGTAATTTCATGAGCAATTACATCCCATTATGTTCAAGGTGGCATATGGGAAAAGATGAGGCTGTTTTTGACTTACAATACAAAGATTTTAAGCTTGAGCTGCAATCTTGATTAATTATCTGTTACTATATATCATCTTGAATATAAAAGGAAATAAACATGGAATTTCTTGGAATCAAATATTTCAATATTTTATTGCATTGGTAGGAAAATGCTCACAGTCCTCCGATGAGCAACAATACAAAGAATAAAGGATGGTGTAACACTGAAACAATAAAAAAAAACTGCTTTACCACCCTCCCTTCCTCAGCCTGGCCCTGTGTAGTTGTCATTCTGTTTTTCATTCCATTAAGTTATACAAAATAAAATCACCATAACCAACAAGAGATTATTTTTGCAGGCTGTATCAAAGTAATTATAAAAATAAAAACCTTTAAACTCCAAATCTTTAAGATTTGCAATCATGTTTTCAAATTCTACAAATCATAGACAGCAACAAGTCCAAGCATGGAAGTTTTGTATTGCACCTAACACAAACAAGCCTTTGTCCTCTGTTGTATCCAATGCAACTATTTGCTCTGTGCAATTGTTGTTGGGCGATGCAACATCTATTGTATAAATTGGTGCATAGTCATGCCTGACATGTTCACAGGTAACATGCACAAACATAAATGTACAGTTAGAATTGGTTATCAACTAAAACCCATCTTAGATTAAAAACAGTGACAGGAATATTTATACACAACACAAATAAAGAAATACCACTGAAAAGAGAAGGAAGACTTACATTTGATCTTTGAAAAGATGAATCCCATCTATTAAAAGTAGCTGTTTGATTATACCACACATTCAAATGATACAAAGAAAGACATTCCCTCTCTGCTTACAACCCAATTCTTCTTTTTTTTGCTTCATAGTCAATGTACAAAGTTTGGACGGTACATCACAGGGACAAAGATAACAAGTATCTGTACAATCAGTCTAGGAAGCCTTTTGGAGGGAATCAAAGTTCCCACGAACATTTACACATCAAGCAGAATATAGACAATACACTGCCAGACTAGAAAGACCATTCACTATTAGATAGTGGACATTTCATACAGGAAATTCATGCTGTCAGATCCAACCATGGATTATGTGGTGTTTCACTTACATTGTACAGACTATACTGTATCTTTAGCCCAGAATAAGATTAATTGAACTGTTATAAGAGAAACCTACTGGTCTGTGAACATGGGAACAAACTATAGCAAGTATTTATCTCCTTCTTCATCTTCTGGCTTTTGGTGTAATTGAACATCATCAAGAATCACTGCTTGATTGTTCATCTCATTTTACAGTCTAAGCAGAAAGTAGACCTCAGGCTCTGACGCAGAGTGGTTGGAGTCAGCAGGTGGAAGAGAGTCATCAGTATAATACCTATCTCCATAATGATCCCCATTTCCATAACGTAATGATGTACAAGCTCCTTCAGGAAGTCCCCTGTCCTCCAGCTGGCCAAGGTAGCCTGCTATGTAAGAACCAGTAGAGTGTCTGTTAGCTGGTGGATTCTGTGAGGCTGGTTTATTCCTCAATACTACACCCCCAAGGCCGGCAGTACTATTGATCACCACACCTGCCCGAGGCTTCAGAGCCTCTTGCTGTCTTTCGCGGGCACGGCTGTTGATGTGACGCACTCGGCTTTGACTGCGAGAGGATAAGCGGCGAGTCAGGAGTGGAGGGGAATCATCTACATCCCTGGGAACAACAGGAGCTATACTTGTTGCCTGTGGCTGTGATACTGGGGATTTTGCTTCCTGGTGCAACTGAGGAGGTTGGGGCCTATCTCTGTCACTATCATCCCCCTCCAGACTGACCAGCCTACGAAGTTGTTCTGTGAGTGGATCACAAGACTGTGATTGGAGAGTTAATCCCCCCATGGTGCCCATCCTCTTTTGCTTCCTCATATGGGGAGTGATGAAACTGCGACTAATAATGTGGTATTTGCTCTGGAAGTTGCATGATATGTCTTCAGAAGTCAAGTCTCCCAGGGACTTGGACTTACATGGGCTCGGGGCTGTGGAGTCTATGGTATCTGGCTGGGGTTTTATTGATAAAGGGTCTAAATTTGAGTGCAGTGAAACTCTGGATTCAGGCTGTGGCTGGTGCCTTGTATTATTAAGGGAAACCTTTTGGTTCCATGACTGTTTTGGAGTGTATGATTGTGTTTCCCTTTGGCAGTATGGCTGGGTGTTTTGAGGGACCGAAGACTCTGATGGGGGGATGATGCAGTCATAGTCCAGGTGGCTGTACACTGCATCACAGTCTGAAGAAGGGGAATATAGAGTTCTGTCTTTGCAGATGTTTAAAGAAGCAGAAGATTGGCCAGGGAGGCTTTCAGATGAGGAGAAACCATTGTAAAAGGACCTTACTTGCTCCCTCTCTATTTGTTCATACCCTAACCTATCTTGATGACACCTATTTAGAATCTGGCTGCCACTATAGCTCCTCTGTTGTGTGTAGGAACTACTGAAGTCTCTGTTGTTGCTAAAGGCCTCAGAATTGCTCAGAGGAACGGGGTAGCTGTTCTGACGCAGTGGACTCGGGTTGGAAGGTCTAGTGTTGGCGGTTCTGTGAAACGGAGAAGGCTGGGAGTTGTTCAGATGTTGGTGGTGATTGGGCAGCTGATAGGAAGGTTGATTCATTGGGGAGGGACACTGTGAAAATGCTACATGAGGTGCATGGGACAGGTACTGTTGTTGAGGGTCACGGTATGATGAAGGCTGTTTTTGATGGTAGTAGTTCGGTGTGGACTCATGGTTTTGGTAAATAGCATGCCGTTTGGTTGGACTTATGAGCCCCTCCCATTGACTGTTATGTCTCGGCGAGGTCAGGGTTATCTCCAATGGATCCTCATCCACATTTATCTCCACTTCTGCAAAAGCATTACCAGCTGAGTCCTGGAGAAACTGAAAACAGTCATTGTTTACAGAGGAGCCCATGTACCTTTTAGAAGTACCCCATTCTATCTCTGGTAGTAGTGCTGGGGGATCATGCACTTCCTCGTATACACTTTCCTCAGCCTCCTCAATTTCTTCACTCTCGCCCCTCTTTCTCATTTCATCCCAGCCCACATTGTGCCCTTTCCCTAAACCCTGAACTGTCTTTGCTGGAGAAGACCCTAAGCCGTTTGATGGTGTGCTCCCCATAGTGTCTGCCTGAATATGGACAGTCTGTTTCTTCAGGTTGTACACTGACACAGGCAATAGCACCTCCTCATCCAGAATTGTGTAGACCTCCTCAAGCTCAGCAGTTTCTGGGCTGGAGAGGAGGGCTGAAGCAGGTGCATCTGTCTGTGAGATGATTTCATGTTTTACATTATTTGTTTTTTGAGCTATTTTTTGGGGACTTAATAGGTGTTTCATGTTAGTGGATGCAGTGTTGGTCTTGAGAGGAGACCTTAACTCTTGCAGAGGATTGATAGGCCTGCAGTTTGAGTGGCGGAAGGGGGTATGATTATGAGATAAAGTTGTGAGATCGTTTTGGTCAACAGTGCTTTCAAACTGACCAATCAAAGCAGAAATAGAGCCACATGTGTCTTGCTCGTTGTAGGACACAGCATCAATGAGTCTGGAGATGGCGCTGTCATGCAAAGAGCTGGGACACTTCAGATCACAGTCCATACTGACAGGGGAAAGAGGGGCTAAAGAGGAGGGGGCAGAGGAGGATGACGAGGAGACGGAAGGTGCAACTGTGAATGTTGTGCTATTTGATGATGTTTGTGGTTTATTTGATCTCATCTGGCTGTTCGAGGAAGGTGAGACAAAACTGTTTTTCTCTATTACTGTGGAGCTGATCTTTGACTTGTTGACTCCATTGTCTTCTGACTGGTAATTGGCATAATCTTCTTCCTTTCTTTCTTCTCCTCCACCAATAACCAGATAAGAAGTGTCCTTTGATTGGTCAAATTTGTTGTTTCTGTTAACGTATGTTTTAGAAGGGGAAGAGATGTTTGGTTCAATAGAGAATGATGATTCGGTGAAAGGGTCCAAAGAGGAAGATCTGAGCCTGTTGAAGGGGCAAGCTCCTGTGGACACAGATAATTGAACAAAAAGATTAAGACAGGCTTATCTACTTGCATTTGATGTACAACATCAAGCCAATCAACAATTAAATGACAACAATTAACAGTCCAGCCAATACCAGGCAATAGCAATACACAGACAAATGGATCACCAAGTACAACTGTGAAGGGGTAGCTGGAAAATGAGGCTGTGAAGGTTAAAAAAAGGAAGAATCCATGTTTGCGTACATCAGATTAGGAAAGAGATGGTCAAATGGGATTGGTTTGGTCAAATGGGATCAAATGACACAGCAATATATTTCTCAGACCACTTTGGAACAAAATACACTGGGTGGACGCAATACTGGTATGTTTTTGAACGATGCAACCTTCAGACAATAGGTATTTTAGATTACCTGCAGGAATATCCTAGTCAGTTCTCTACTATAAGAAGCACAACAAATGAAGATGGGACAGAAAAAGCATGTTAAGGCATCATGGAGAGTAGTCTGTTTTCTGTCAGTTTACATGGTTACTGTACATGAGTTTTAGATTGTTGTAGCAGGTTAAGTAAAGCAAGGAGAGAAATTAGAAAAAGTAACATTTTACATTAATCAGTATACAAAGCAAGTCGATGCAAACTGCTGCATTAAGACGTGCCATCTACAGGCATATTATAACAAAAAGTTTTTTACAGTCATACAGTTTTAAAAGATTACTTGAAAGAACAAACAAATCGTGACTCTGATATAAATGCCACAGATTGCTATGACTTGGTTTGTTTTAATATTATATAATTAAATTTAAAAATGATGTAATTTGTGTGTAATTAGCATAATTCCAAAATATATTTAATGCTTTTACCATGATGAAATGAAAAATACCCACCAATGACAGTGTCTGCACCCTTGTCATGTTGTTCCTTGTTTTGGGAGCAGAGGGATAGCTGCCCTTGCAGAAGCCTGTCTAAGGGCATGGAGATAGGTCTGTGGGTGAGGGGGGCACGGGGCTGGAGACGCTTCTCCACCCCTCCTTCCTTTCCTGACATGCCCTCGCCTCCTGCTCCTGCACCTGTGCCATTCTTTGGGTCTGAAATCGAAGCCACTGACTCTGATAGCGCCATCTTGGTCTTCTTCCGTCCCTTTGCTGGGGCACTGGCTGTGCGTCGCAGGAGGTGATCACTGATGGAGCGTTTCCGAAGGCCACCGGAGCTTGTATCAACACAAGACTTGGAAGAGCGGTTAAACAAACTCCGGATGCCTCGCAGCTGATGACCCTGAGAGTAGGAGGAACAGGACCAGAAAAAAATACAAAGGGAAAAAATTATCAACAAAGAGAAGAGGAAATGTGCTTCACACATTATCAGCCAAGGTGCAGTGACTTCTGACATAGACTTAACACAACATTTTCACACAAGTTTAAGTGTTAATTTTCATGATAACATTGAAAACATATGCCATGTATGCATGTACTGAACTTAGTTTGCAGCAAATGTAACAATTGCATGCTTTTTTTATGCGTTGCCTATAGATGGCACCCTTACTCCTTAATTTATCACAACAAACAATATGCAGGAAGCTGTTGTGGGTTATGCATGCACTCTTACATTGCATAATTCCATCTTTGTTGAAAATGAGACATCAACAATTGAATAAAAATGACCTTATGAGCAAACAGCATGACTCAGTTGTTTAATGTCACACACAAACAAGTCATTAAAGATACGGCTGAACACAAACTGCACTTTTGCATCATGCATTACTGTGTCATGCAGCACCACGCAGAGCCTAGGGCATCAGGATACCTTGTTAGATCCTAGAAAGTGCATTATGGTAAAGCTGGGGTTCAGGACTAGAGGGCTCCACTAGAAAGACAAAGGATTGAAGGAGCATAGCTTAAATGGTTTGACGTGTTGAGAGAAACATCCTTTTAACCTCCAAAATATAATCTCATTTGACAAAACAGGCTCAAAGGAGGAATGTAACAACAAACACCAGGACTGTACAGCACTTACCTTCCCATAGACATCATGCACTGACACATGCACAAAGATGGAAGCCTCTGTCAGCCCCTCCAAGTAAACGTGTCTGTAACCTGTTGTTAGAGAAGAAAGCATGTGAGTGAGAAAGTGAGTCAAAGAAACATAACAGCTGTCACCAGAATGGTAGTTGTGTAGTAGTTCCCTGAGGAGAGGGCATCAAGGGTTCAGGGACAACTCTGATGGATGTGGACAACAAAAATAACCTGCCAAGCCACAGGTCCTTTACTTTACAAATCAAACAAATCATGGTTCACTAGACACAGGATAATGTGTCCCACAGCCACAGCACTGCCAAAGCCATAAGGGAAATTATGTGTTTATGTGTGAATAAATTTGTCTGTCTTGCTGTGTTAAATGGCAGAACTATCATGATTTTAACTTGCAATGACAAACTGTGTACCATGATAAATTCATGTCAACAACAAAACAACAAGCAAAGTTATTTTTCTAAGATTAAAATACTGAAGAATTATGCACAGACCAGGCATCAGGCTGCTGAAGGCAACAGTCCGTTGACCGATAAAATCCCGTCCAATTGGGTCATGGTCCCAGACAAGGAAACGCACCAAAACCACTTCAGCCATGTGAAGTGTAAAAGACAGAGTCTCCTCCCATACTGGATTAAAACCTGAGGAAAATACACACATATATGCTCATTATAATTAGGATCTGGTGCGTCAGTATCTCAGTAAAGCCTTTATATACAAGACGTCCAAAAAACTATAAAAGATGGAGTTGATTGTTGTGATGTGTCAAATTATGTATTTCGTGGATTAATGCCCTGCACATTAATCTTATAATACTGTTGAGCTCCCAGGGCTCCATAACCTTTCCCATAGAGGGCTTTTCCCCTCCCCCTGCTGGGCACCCTAATCTGTGGAGACATGTTAGGGGTGATACCAGCACACCCCTTTGTTTTGCTTCCTTTGTGCTTCTAATTAATTAATCTGACTTTTGATCCTGGCAGTGCACCACAGCGCAAAGTGTAGCATCTGTGGCCATGGCATCGTTTGATCTCTGCTCTGATCTTATTTTTAGGAATTATGTCAATAATTATTATCATTGAGATGACATCAGTTTATATTTGTTTCTCTTTGTGTTCCATACATACACAATGTTCTATATTATGTATAGAGTAATACACATATACACTATATGTATGTTCTATATGTATGCATGTGGCACTTTCCAGAGAGAAAAAATTTGAAATGCAATGTATTTAGTATCCATTGGTTCCAGGCAGGAGGTGGAGTGGATTGGACTGGATATTTGTCATCTAAATGTCAAAAATGGAGTACTGTAACAGGACCTTAGGTTATGATCTTTGCTATTTGGGTATACAATTTTTCATCAATAGGCCTTTTTCACAGCTGACATTTTGAATTGTCCATAGTAGGAAAAGCTCAAGTGTAACTAATTGGTTCAGTTTTATTCATAGACAGCTAAATCTATTAATGTAATGCAGTACATACAGTAATAGGTACTGAGTGTAAAGATGCAAAACTTGAAGAAATCTGATCTCTACTACAGTCCTATTTGCCTACAGGCCAACATGTGACTTGAAATTCTGATTACCCTACCAACAGGAACTAGTTAGTTATCTATTGGAAGTAAAAAGGGGGACGTTACAACCAGAGAATAGAATAGAATTCAAAGTAATTCGTAATGTATCCATAAATGATAATGACTTCTTAATCATTGGCCACTTGGTGGCAGAAAAAATCAATTCATAAACACAACAGTAACATATCATCGACTTGATACAACAACTACAACATTATGATTCATTTTGGGTCGTTTTTGTGGTCAACCGACAAATATAACTCCAAAATTGTGGACTTTTTTAGGTCTCTACCAACTCCTGAGGGAAATATCTGACTCTTAGACTGTTAAATGCTCCACTGTGTTCACCAGCCAGTTGCTAACAGTGCCTGTCTATCTTGTGCTGAGCAGGTCATGTGCTATGGATTTTTAGATGAATTATTTTTTTTTAACCTCCATCTAAGTCGGTTAAAAATCAATTCTCATTTACAATGACAACCTGGCCAAGTGGCAGCGACAGTTTTTAGAGCTTTTCACAGAAAACTGCTGCAGCCAAAAATGACGGTATAAGGCTGGTGAGAATGAACCAAAACAGCAGAGTGCTGTGATGGACAGCTAAACAATGAGCTGAAACTCCACTACAAAGCTCTGTAAAGTTGAGGGGAGCTGGCACTTTAGGTGACAATTTTCTGTAGGTTCATTACTACGAGTGACATTGTCACATAGTTTTCACAATGTAATTTGATACTTGTTATTATAATAATATCGATTAGAGCCGTTACAAGCTATTTTCTGTTGTGCAAGATGACATGTTTAAAATTTTTCAGGGGTTCAGTGAGTGTAAAGTATAGTGATATTTAAATTGATCTGTGTGTGTCTAACCGTTGTCATCAACAACGCGTGTCTGTTCCTTGCAGCAATCAACTGGCAGACCGATGATCTCCACTTCAACAAAGGGATCAATAATCTGATGAAGGAGAAAAGGCGACAAAATTAATTATATTTTTTTGCATAGCACTGAAGGTATTTCTGCTGAGAGCAAGCGACAAATCTGTGAGTAGTCGAGTATAATACTGCATGCGTGCTTGTATGTGTGTGTGTGTGTGTGTTGTAGTATGTTTGTGTGAGAGAGACAGAAAGAGAGAAAAAGACAGATGGAGAATCTGGTGTCTTTTTTTGGTGTGTTTGTACCTCTCCGCGGTCCCCCAGCATGGAGTCTGGTGGTTTGGGCAACTGCTGTCCACTAATGATCTTGAGAATGAGTTGCTTCTTGGGGTAAGCTGGAAGCGGGTCATCACTGAATGGGTTGAAGGAGCCTGGAGGGAATGAAAGACAGCAGAGCAAGAACTTTGATTTATGTCATCACTCATCCTCACTCAATCCTCAAATCCTCCCTGATTGTTCTGTTTGTTGCAGTGTCCATATATTTATATGCAAAATAAATATGCAAGGGTGAAAATAACCGATATACACCCATTTCTGTGACTGATTAGATAATGTTGACACATGTTGGCTACAGCTACATTCCCAGTACGCTCTCAATAAGCATTACATCATAAAGAGCAGCAGTGCAAACTACATGTGCAGAAGACTATGAACAACATCTATGCCTCTGCTTTGTTATGTAGCTAAATCCTCAGTTGTATAACAGTACTGTAGAATAAAGGGGATGAGATCATCTTTATAACCTCATGTGGTACAGAAACATACCTCATAACACAACAAAAAAAAACAATTAAAAATTCTAGTTGAGATCCCAACATTTCCAAAACAGAACAAAAATGTCACATTGCATTACAAGAAAATGTATGATGCAGTTAGTTATCTTTCCTGTAATTGTGTACTGATAAAAGTCTTGTGTCTTCTTGTATTTGAATATTTACCTGAAAATATCATATAGGTTCAATGGAGCAAGCAGATACAATATATATTGTACATGTAATACTGCGAAACATGAAATTTCAATGGAAAACTAAGAGTTTTTGATATATAATCATATATAGGTTATATACACCTAACTTTAACTACATAACAATATCACATGTTACATTCTGTATTCATCCAGTACTTTTTATTTCATGGGGAAGATCAAATGTAACATTATCCGCTCTCTTAATTGAACTTTTACATTTGAAGTTCCCATACTCATCTATGTATTTCTTTGAACAGATCATCCAATATGGTCCAATTCCTACATGTACCTATGTTGTCTCTTAGCTTATGACTTTTTATTTCATACATCCAATCATAACAAATAAAGACTGATTTCTACACCAGTTTTTGTTTATGTGAACAAACACTGATTTGCATGCATGTATGTGTGCTTGTTTGTGTGCATGCAGTCGTTGTTGCAGTACCTTTACACATGGGAGGGGGCTTGAGGACATAGCCAATACCTCCATTCACCATGAACTTGGCTCTGTTGAGCTGCATCATCCTGCCCTCTGTCTGGTAATTAAGAGCAACTGAAAGAGAAAAAATCCACTTACGATATAAATTAATGCTAAATATATTGGTGTAGTATAATGTGAAAATCACTGAGGATGCAAAAATCATATGAAGATCATGTCACTCTAGTAGTTATTGTTTTTTACATTTGCCAAATGCTGTTGATGTTTTTTCCCCTTCTTCTGTCCTTTTTAACAGATTTTATTTTTGTATACCTGGAATGGTAATTTCTTAGAAGGCAATACTGCTCTCTGAATTTAACACACACACAAAAAGTGATAATAATAATTGGCAGGCACAGGCAGGGAATCCTTGAATCTTGGATTTCCTGATGCTGTTCATTTCTGCCCAGATAAAAATATTCAGTTCCAACTGTTTTTCATTATCGTATTGTCTTTTCATTTATTTATGTATTTCTCACTAATCCTCACAAATTCCTGATCCAATTGTGGCCCCACAAATAATCTTGCTGGCACTCAGTTACGCACAACATGCTAATACATACGACACACACATATCCTGTACAACTGAGTTAGTGTTCACACACAATGTCATATGCAAATGAAGTGTGTGGTGTACAGGCCGCAGATGAAATCAGTTAGTGTGTGTGCATGCACGTGGTATGCAGGGCCAATTAATGTGTAATGACAGGTATGTGGCTGAAGGGAAGATGCCTGTTGTTTTCAAGAAGAGACAACCTACAAACAGGTCAAAAGCTTAGAGCGACAGACGGTTGTCTTACCCAACTGACAGCCCACATTCCAGTAAAACTGGGGGTTGAAATTGGACGAGTCGATCCGATAGGCTGAGGGATAAATCCGTGACAGCTGCCTCTGGTTAAAAGCCAGGAACTGTTCGGCTCTGTGATTTACCAGAGATTGGGCTCTGGTCTCGCTGAATGACAGAACGTCACCTGGAGTACCTGAAAAGAAACATGGGTTGGTCAGGCATGGGAAAATGTCTCCAAGGTAAACACGGCAATGTGTCTATATATGTGTGTGTGTGTGTGTGTTTGTGTTTGTGAAGGTGTCAGAGCGTTGGTGTTTCACCTTCATTCAAACACTCCTGTGAGGCAACAGAGTTGGTGAACACCACCAGGTTTGACAGATCTCTACTCAGTTTCATCGTCTTCCTCTTCCTTCCACCCCTAAAACAATTGCCGGATGACAGAAGACAATTGCAAGAGAGGATAGAGGAGAGTGAGTGAGATTGTGTAAAGATATATGAGACAGGTAATGCAAGACGAACGTGAAGTACGATATGCACACATTCATATATTCGTTTAAGCATTTATGGTGGCAAAACCATAGCAGGCAAGAGATGATTGTGCATCAGTGAGGCAGCTTGCAAACCACAGGAAAGAGCATCAAAGGCAAAAAGCTTAATAGGGACCAGAGCGCATGCAGTGCAGCAAGACTCACACACACTACTTCCGCACACATACAACTACACACACTCAGTCTTGCGAAAAGACAGTCACATAGCCACTCAGACACATGCTTGCAGGAATCTGTGCTGTGACAGTTCCCGAGGACTTGCGAATATGAAAATGCAGGCAGCAACAGAGACTGGGAGAACAAAGAGAGACAAAGGCCTTATGCACATAAAGTGACTGAGGGAGGAAAACAAAGCTGAATTTCCATACTTCTTGCCCAGTGCTCACTTACAAAGAAAGAGGAAAACTGAGACAGAGGTGGACAAAAGAATGTGTTGTGGTAAAGAATTGGGATATATTCATGCTTCAGACAAAAACAGACGCAATTAGATTTTCCCTTTCATTAGGTAATCAGATCTGATTTATAATAATAGTGTGAATGGGAAGAAGCACATTGATTCTGAAACAATGAATTCTGATTCGGATCTCTTTCAGGGACGGTCCCAAATTTGGTGAATATCTCATTTGTGGCAATGGAACTTGTATCTCAACACTGATTTGAGAGCCCATGTGATATTTACTGTATGTTAGTCCAATGCAACATTTTTCTCATAAAATCCAAAGATGGAGAACCGCAGCAGTGGAATATTTTGGAAGTAATTAAAATATAGCTCAGAGTGACATAGCCAGTATATCACATCTATTAACTTAGCTTATTAGTTACTTTTTAGATTAAGATTTTATATACAAAACATATGATCTGTTTATAAAATGGGGTACACTGCTATAGATTTTCCTACACGTATTTAAAGTATGAGTGTATTGAAATGAGCAAAGGTTTGTTTAGTACTTTATGAATTAAACTTTTCATTTTTAAGGGGAATATTTAGTTATTTCTTCTTTTAAACTTTATATGGTGTTGCTTTAATGCAAATATAATAATGTAATATCTGATATAAAAATATAATACTTACAGTGGCAGTCTGCTGAATGTGTACTTTTTGTTATTTTCCACTGAGTTGCCAGTATCACTATACTTTCAGTCCAATGTATGTAATGTATTTTTATACTGTGGTGTTGCTAACTTTACTAAATAAATGATCCTACTTCTTCAACCACTGGTCACATGGCTTTATGGCAAAGCAAAATAATAAAACTGTTTTAAAAAATCCAATAAAGAAAGCAGACACTGCTGAATTTTACTGTATACAATAAACACTGCTATGAGCCACTGGAGCTATGCGACAACACCATATGTGATGTCTCTAGTCTTGGCCTCAATTTCATTCATCCCGGGTGTTCTGTCTTTGGTCTTTTGCACTTGTAAAAGTCAGTTCAGTAAAGAGACTTCCTACATTAAAAATATAATGTGAAAACTCCCAAAAAGTGAAAAACCGGATCTCAGCAGGAAGTCATAATTGAGCAGCGAGGCTTAAAGAATAAACACCGCCTCCTGCATTTACTGTGAGATCGTAAATGTAACATCATAAATGATACATAAAAGGAGAGGGGAATCAAAATCTGGCTTCCCATCTTTTGCTGTCAGTGGTAGCTCAGGGCTTGAAATACATCATTCTTTCCCCTCATACAAACATAAATTATTGCTGAAGAAGCTTTAGTGGTTTTGCATGGCTCTACTGCTGCCCTGGATTGTTCAATGCTCTGAGCACTCAGCAGCTATCAAACATCTCACTTGTCAAGGATTGTAAGTGTTGTGGTGAAAAGGGTCAAAGGTCACCTGTTGAACTGTCCTCCAGCCTCCCCCCTGGACCTCTCCTGACCATCGTCCTCCTTGTCCACGCTTTGGCATGACAGCCTGGATTTGGAGTGCCTCTGGACAACGGACACACAAAGAAATATATAAACACACGTTACACTGCAATGAAGGTTTACTTACTGGTTGAAAAGCAGAAGAGAAGTTTCCCTATATCCTTGTCTTCAGCTGAACTCCTAACAAATGTGTTAAAATAGACATTGTACATGATACCACCTACACACAGACTCACAATATAAGAGTTCTTTAGTGGGAAAGGAGTGTTAATAATGTGTCTTGAGCAAACTGTATGTGTTTTTGTGTGGATTCATAGAGTGTTGTTCTTGTAGTAGCAGTTTGATTGTGTGTTTGTGCATGTTAGTGGGTGTTTTAGGTGTAGCGTATGTAATTATAGCGAGCGTGTATTAGATGAAGTGTGCGTTTTTTCTGAGAGGAGCAGCATCTCTATTAGGGCTAAAGTGAAGTTGAGAAGAGGATGAGGGTCGCAGTAATTACAGGGTTTAGGCTGCTTGCCAACAGATTACATGCACCCATGCATGCACGCATATATACACACACGTGGGAGGATGCATAATATGCAAAGAGGGAGGCATAAAAGAATGAAGAGGAGATGTGAGTGGGTAAACAGAGGAGGGAATAGAGGAAGGTGGAAAAAGAACCAAACAGAGGGAGAAGATGCGAAATAACCAGAGTGAGAAATGAGGGAATATAGACAAAATGTAAGAAAACAACCGCAGACACACCACACTGATACTTATATTATACTGTAAAATAAATGGCCTACACCACCAGCAGCTGTCTGACGGACAAACACATAGGCTACTTTACAGAGGATCTAAAGACTGTACATGCTTTAGATCTGCATGTTTCACTGAAACGCATAACACAGGCATTCACTGCATTGATCTGCAGTGTGGAATTGGAAGATAAGTGTGGAGGTTTTAATTATGATCCTGCTACATACCACAGGCTGAAGATAATTCTACAAAGGATGCTTTGTGTATGCATTTTCTATGTGACTTTATGATTTATCTACAGGCGGACAGTGAAGAGGCTTCTTTTCTGCTTCCCATATGTGATGCTAATCAGTTAGAGAGACACACTCTCTATGTTTTTGTGGCCAGTTTAATGGGAGATCCTTATGTTGATGTCCCCTGACTCTTCTGTTGCATATCAGTTGGGTTTAGCAGGATTTGAGGGGTGGAATAATTCTTCAAGTGGGCAGTTAATCAGTGGTTGGACCTTTTGGGAAATATGTTTATTCAATTTCTTGCCAACAGTTAGATTAAAAGATGAATATGTCTTACATATCTGTATGGTGAATATAAAGAAGGACGAACCAGAACACAATTAGCTTAGCTTAGCATAAACACTGGAATCAGGGGGAAATAGCTAGCCTGACTCTGTGTAAGGGAAAAAAATCCCACCTACTGCTCTGCACCTCTGAAGTTAACCAGTTAACTCTAATTATTGTCATATTTTGTTTGTTTAATCATATAAAAAACCTGAATGTATATACAGTGTAAATACGTAAATATATGGTTTTACATAGGGGTTATGAGCTGGACTGTTCCTTGGACTAAATCGTTTTGGGTCCATCTCAGCACAACCTTTGGGATGCAAACTGCCTTTACTTGAAGCACATGGCTCAGCCATTGCAGTCACCTCAGTTAATTAGCAGTCATCCACAAAAACAAATTGTTGGTCTTTTACTGGACTGAAATCAAAAGAACGCTGACACACCGAGCCAAAAGCTGGCCGTCAGGCACCATTGGAATTTTATTGTTGTTAACCTTCACTTGTATTCTGTAGTTTCCATCACCGTTGGCTCTTGTCGGCTCTTGTCGACTCTTGCCCTTCAGCTGATTGGGCATGCTAAATCAGCAGCCAAGGCCATCGTGACTTCTGTTTAACGTTTTAAGTAAAATACAGTGTTTGTTCTTTAAGGGCAGTTTAATGTGTCAGGTCAATAGAACAAGATGGATGCTGTCCAGTAAACGTTGCCTACAGAAGATAACTACCTAAAGTTCTATAATTCTCGTGGTATGAAGTAGCTAAATACTCACCAACTAACCTGAAGCTGAACTTACCTGTTTTTTTTTTCAGACTTAACATAAATAGATCAAGAATCAAGAAAGAAAAAAAAGAGCAACCTCTCTTTCCATGCTCCTCACCTTCTGTTTGAGTGTTGTGATGAAGGATCTGCTCTGGGATTTCTTCAAAACCCCTTTGGAGCTCTAGAGACAAGGAGAATACATTCAGAAACTCTTTATATCTGTTTGTGTGTGCTTGTTTGCATTCATATGTGTGGTTCGATGTGAATCTAATAACAACCACATTAGCACCCAGTGAGTCACTTAAACCCTAAAGCTCAGTAGCTGGAGGGGCGGCAACAGACATTAGCCAAAAAAGCAAAGCACAGCTGAAGAGAGTGAGGAATAAGAAAGAGTAAAAAAGTAAAATTACTAGAGAGGAAGACAGATAGAAAGAAAGCTTTACAAGGACATTGAGGTGAAAAGGGAACCCTGATGGAGAACACCCACTATGTTAAAATGGCTGTCAGGAAACCGAAGCTTCTATAAATAGCACAAGAAGCTAGCAGGGAAATTAAATATTAAGTAACACTGCAGACATTTAGTTTCTCATCACTTTCAGTCTGTTTTGACATGCTTTGGATGAAATGACGCCTAGAGTGGACTGAGGAGGTGCTGGTTGGCTGTCCATTTTTACGTATTCAGTGGGTGTGTTTGACCTGTGAGTGGTGCAGTAACTAGTCTACTTAATTTTCTTCAGTTCCCTCCATGACTAATATCATGGCCTAGTTATATGCCCTCTCTCTTCTCTTTCTTCTGTTTTGAGAATTACTCTGCTCCATATGCAGCTCTACACATTGCTTTAGGGTGGTACCTGACGCAGGTTCTTCTGAAGGCCCTGGTGTGTAGCCCGAAGCAGAGCTCGGATGCTGAAACTGTCGGTGTCTTCCTTGTCTCCAATCCGAGATTCTTTTAGTAGAGAGTCCAGTTTCTTTCTGATGTGAGACTCCACCTGGTGATGCCCATTGCCCTGTGTGAAAGTTATTAGTTAGTTATTAAGAGGGTTGTGGTCTCTGTCGATGACACCTCCTTAATTACAATGGTTCTGCTCAAAACTGGTGGAAACCGGGCTGGTTTGTTAGATAGCACCAAGGTTCTCGGAATCTTAAACCTAACCAGAGAACCAGAGCAAGAACCTGAGCTAATTTGGCGGAAAAACACTTACACTGTCACTGATGTGAAGCCCCACCCAGGCCCAGCCAATGTCAACCAACTGCAGAGCTATAGCACCACAGTCAGACCTGCAGCTTCAAACCAACCAGCACCACCTTTTGGCAAGAAAACTAACTACAGCAGCAGTTGAGAACTGCAGATTAAACATAAAAAAAAGAGCGCCATCTGCAAGCAAGGAAAGTAAATACTGATGCAATGTGTAATCCTGCACCATCAGCAGGCAATGAGTTTTATCTTTTCATAGCTACATGTATATTTAATGCTTAAACATTTATATTCTAAACCTGCAAAAGATAACTGGATCATATTTTCTGCTTAATATTGTAAGAATGTAGAGTTTACACCGACCTGAATGGCATGTGCTCTTTCATTTTATGTTTAGAAAATGACATATATATATATATATATATATATATTTCTTTACAAACATCTGGTTAGTGTTTGGTGTTTTTTTTTCTACCACAAGCTGCACTGCTGCATTGTTTAATATCCATTATATGTTAGCATCACATTGTTTTAATATATCCAATAGGTGGCACAGGTCTAGAATTCAAAACACTAAAACTATTCAGACACATAATCTGTGGTCAAAATCAACTTAGTCAATCATTCACTTGTCTCCCTACATAATAGTATAACAGTTGCTCAAGGATAATTTTCTCATCTATAAAATGCAACACACTACATTGTGTTTTTTTTTTACAGAAAATACTGTACATGCCATGGTCAATACTCTTTTTATTCTCTAGAATTTAGACACACAAATAAAATGTCAGTGGGTAAATATTGTGCAAGAGTGATTTTGGACACGCCCTGAGGAGCTGTAACACTAATTTCCTGCTGGTGCCCCACGTGTTAAATTAGCAGCAGGTATTACTTTTCTTACCTGTAGGAGGCGTCATCAACATGTCTGCATGTCTAAAACTGTTACAGCTTGTGCTTTGATCATATTAAAATAAAATATGTGAAAAATCTAGTCTATAATCTCCAGCATACTGTCCATATCTTATGTACGTATCACCACCTTGAATAGTACTTTTGTGCATTTATTACAGTGGTATATTTTTTGCTAAAATTAGGGGGAAAAAATAAAACATAAAGAAATATTTCATGTCATGTACAGCAAAAGTAAACAACACTGTACTGGAATCACTACTGGGGAAAAAAAGAGCTTTTGTAGCTCTATACCACAGCATTAATGCAATGTTAATTGTGACTGCTGTGAAAGCACACTGGTTTAATGAGCTCAAAACAAAAGCTCTCATCAGTTAAAACTTGCCACCACCCTTTTAAAATGGCAACGATCATCCAAAGTAGCATCTGCAGCCTCATGCCTCCAGCTAAATGACGAAGAATGATGCCATATTCGGTTACACAACTGAACCATCTGGAATAACTGAGTGTTTCCGTGCTTTAAATGTGGTGAGGAGAACCCTGGCACTACTGTATCACGGAATAAATGAACAGGATTAAGAATGACTATAAAAATGGCACAAGGAAATAAACAAGCAGCAGCAGGCAGAGATGAGACTCAAACTCTTTTCGATGCTTGCATTTGCTTAATATTTATATCTGCACCATTAAGCATTGATTATTTCAAAACATCACTGCACTGATGATCAGTAAAACTTTACAAGCACCAGCATTACTACCCAATTACTGAAGTCATTACGTCGAGCACAACAGTGTCATTAAGATTCCATTATCTAACTTCCGTTTGTGGTCCCTATATGTGGAGGAAGGGTCTTTTTCTCTAACATTAATCCTTGCCAGTCTAAACTGAGGGGTTTTTTTCTGAAAGGATGTTGTTTTTTTTTACTACTGAGTAAGTAGCAGTTAAAGATCTAAAAAAAGAAGCACAAATAGAGCCACAAAGGTAAGCAGCCCAGACAGTGACAAATGTGTTGTAAAGGTAAAAAAAAAAGTTTTGCAATGTCCTTTAATTCATAATCTGTTTTATCAATCAAAATATTGTTTTAATTTGCTGGAGGATTTCAATTAAATCATTTCAGAGCTGTTCTGGTTTCATTGGTGTGTAGAAAAATAGGAATGAGGGCTCTGTGAGGTGATGGGCATGTTTTGCATTGATTTAAATGGAAAATGTCTTTGAGTTACTTTGTCATTACACAACTCTCTTACTATGATAAAAGCTCATGACATAAATAAAGAAAGAATTACTTAAAAATAAAAACAGAAGTTAAATTTCTTTGAAAATAATAAAAACTAATAAAAACAAGGAGGAAAGACTCAAATCATGTGAGGGTAGGGGTGGTAAGTTAATAATTAATTCCTCTATCTTACATTACTGCTCTTAAGCTTGAAGTCATCCTCAATTTCATCAGCGCTGTCATCATCAGACACCTCCCCTTCCTCGGCGTCCGCAGAAAGATAGGCAGGTAGGCGCTTTCCCTGGATAGAAGGAGATGGGAGGAGTGAGAAACGTTTGACCCATGCATATGTCTTAAATGCAGCACAAATCCTCGCTTTTATACACTAGAACGCCCACACAGGTTGCACCTCTAAGATAGTCCAAGAATAACACAGCAGATTGCAATATGTTTTACTCACTTAACTGCACACATGCCTACACAAATATGCACATGTTGAAGTCTTTCAAACCCATAGTATGTAGAGTGAAAGCCATTATTGTCACACTAGAGGGCACAAAATACACACTCCTGCACTCGCAAACACAGACAAATAGTACAATCAGCTGCAGATTTTCTAAGAAGCTCCCCGAGCAGCCCTTTCAGCAGAGTGGAAGCCCATGAGTGAGCCAATTCTAAAGGTGTGAGTGGGAGTAAAGATTTTCTGAGCTTCTTCTTCCAAAATCAATGCCAGACTCCAAGCTTCCTGCGGTACACTGAGTCTCTCACTGACATCAACTCCCTCATTTCAACCACTGCCCCCTCTCTTCCTTCCACCTGTGACTGTCAAAAACCCTTTTGCCATTTTTCTTTATTGTCTTGTGACTCTATCGCTCCACTGGGGGATAGAGAGAGGTGAAAGGGCAGAGTGGGGGAGGAAAGAGATGGAGGAAAACTGTTAGAGTGGAGTAAACGGCTTTATAGAAAATCAATAATTCTCTTTCACTTTTCAGACATCTGGCAGGGAGGGGACGAAGCTGGAGCTCCTTTTCCCTGGGAACAATGCCGGCATTCTTCTACATTACAGATAAAGTCAATTTTATCTGGTTCTTATAACTAAAATCCAATAAATGCTGAGAGCTTTTCCCCTGTATCTCTCAGTTTCTTTGTATGAATAAGTCCTGTTCTGGTGGATAAGGATCTCCTGGGTCTGAGGCCGTCAAAGTAAAGGCTTTATTATTTAATTTATTTTTGGGTTTTCATTCTTTTTGAGGATGATCATGTCAAACATGTTGGACACCTGCCCTGCCTTTTGGGACTACAACAGTAGGTGCTGCAAAGAGACAGAGATAAGCTTGACACCAAGTAAGGAAATGTTTAAAAAGTGTATACATTTAATGGGCTAAACAAATATTATTTTTCTTTGACCAAACGTCAATCACAGACAAAGGGACTGATAAAAACTACAAAACAGACATATTCTTATCTGGGATTTGCCTAAAATATAATAGATAGTTGTATAGTGTAGTTGCTGATTGCAATGCCTTTGTCACACCTTTTTCGTTCCAAGAGTGATGCAGAAACTACGGTGACCATGAAACTCACTAAAAAACACAACAGGACCTATCTAGAGCCAGTTTTGGTTCATACAATCTGAGCTATTGTAGAAACATGGCAGTTCAACATGGCGGACTCCATGGAAGAGGACCTGCTCCCTGTGGATAAAAACAGCTCATTCAAAGGAAACGAAAATTGACTTTTATTTTCAGGTGATTATACACTAATGAATACATACCTATGAATAGTATATTACATTGCTGCCAATATATCCTCCTAAATGTTACACACAGGGCCTGAACTATGAATTATAGTTAAAAATAACCTACACTGACTTTACACAAACCTTTAGATCCAACCATCCACCCTGACCTCCTCCCTGTATGTAATTAAAACAAATAACCAATGTTCTTGTTTCTTTGGAGAGGGAGTCTTACATACCAAATTAAAAAGCACTAACATTAACCAAAAGAGAGGACCAGTCTATAATCCAGTGACTTTGGAGCAATGCATTAGTCTGAATATGTGCCAGGGGTGTTTTGAGGACTAAATATGTGTTCTACCTGTGGTGGCTTAAGTTAATTTAAAAACTGCATCATTCATTATTAATCATTTAGGGGAAATTGTCATATTGAGCCCCTTACTTTCAAATTAGAATTATGAAAAACAAAAATGCTATTTTAGTTTAACCAGGGATTTGAGAAAGAAAGGAATAATTGTGATTCTCTTTAAACTCTGCTGGGGAGCGGTGCATATTTTTCCCAAAATTAAATATGTCTTTAAATATTCATCTGTTCATCGTGGAACAGTTTGACAGCCCCAACTGAGTCGCCAGGTTGCCTGTTTGTGTATGTGTGTGTATGTGTAAATGAAAAACAACAATCTGTCACTCAGTTATCATATTCCAGCATCTCGTCCTTCTCTCCTTTCCCCTCTGTGATTAATACAATGACCTAGTTTGATCCTCTCTTTCTCCTCTTTCTTCTCTTCATCTGTTTATGGACAATAATTAGCTGCCTTGCAGTGCCTCCTAGACTCTGTATCCTCAGTTCAGCAACACAAATAAAGTAAAATATGGAGATTTAACAAGCCCTCCGCTGTCTTCGCTGAATAGAGAAGAAGGAAGTGGAAATGTGTAATGCAGATGCTTTGATTTACATGTGCACTCACTGACTGGGCAAATTCTGATTTAGCGATTTATTTATTCATTTAAAAACACAAACTGTCAGTCCAGTATCCATCCATTCATAGATTTTTTTCTTACTTTGATGAGTATCTTGCCCTGCAGGCTGTGAGGGCTGGGTAATGTTTTGGAGTCTCTGCTCATAACATCTCCCACATCCAGTTTGTCTCCAAAGATTTCTCGCAGGTACTGAGCAATCTTCTTCTGTTGCTGGATGCTGCAGTGGTTCTCTATGGACAGAATTACTGGGTACCTGAAAGAAAAAAAACATCAACATACATACTCAGGTTTCCATAAATGACATCAAAACCTGTCAGCACTTAGAAAATGTGTCTTGAATGCAGACGATGGACTGAAGTGAGACTGAGCTACTGATATGAGCATGACACACACTTCTGCACTTCCATATCTCTGTTGCATAAACACCTCTGTGGCATGGTGTGTGTGTGTGTGTGTGTGTGTGTGTGTGTGTGTGTGTGTGTGTGTGTGTGTGTCTAGGTGTGTGTATGTGTGTGTGTGTGTGTGCCTGTGTTTTCATTTAGAAAAGGTGAAATGACTTGTGGCCACACAGCAGCACAGCTCAAATGTCAGGTTTGTCAGACTGACAGCTCTCCCTCAGGGGACGCAGCCCTGCTCTCAACTCCATCTCTGATCCCCAAAACGCACACCTACACACACACGCGCACACACACACACACACACACACACACACTTACACACAGAAACGGGTCCTCTTCCAAAGACAAAAAGAGAGTAATATCCAGTCATTTCATTTCGACACACAGACAGTGACATCCAGGGGCTCCTCTCAGGTGAAACAGTGAGGAGGCTCAATGAGTGTGATGAATGTGTGTGTGTGTGTTTGTGTGTGTGTGAGTGTGTGTGTGTGTGTGTGTGTGTGGGTGTGTGTGTGTGTGTGTGTGTGTGTGTGTGAGAGAGAGAGAGAGAGAAAGAGTAGAGACTCGCTCCATTTCAATATAGCCCAGGGGACAGTAATCATATTAACAGGTGGCACTGATGATAAAATATCAGCTGAATGTAAAAGGTGAGAACAATGGAGAGAGAGAGAGTGGTAAACCATGGGATGTTCAATTTATTCACCTGTACTTGCTGTCAGCGTATTACAGATAGCTAATTAGTATGGTATTAGTTTCTGAGCATTTAAACGTGTTTCCTGATTAGCAAGTGTCAGTGTTTCCTTTCGGGGAGGCTACATTGAACATGTGGACTTTAATTTCATTCAATACTAAGATCTTTATCAAAGTTACCCTGAGAAAAAAAAAGCTTTATTGACTGAAATTATTAATTAGTAAGCAAAATAGATAAAAGAATAACTCTAACTGAAGTTTATATTTTCATTATAGGTTAATCTACCAATTATTTTCTCAATTAACTGATTGATAGTTAGGCAAGACATTCAGTTTACTATCACATAGGACAAAGACAACCAGTAAAGTCACATTCTAAAGAAGATGAAGCAAGGAAATGTTCGGTATTTTGCTGATATAGAAAGTCTTGGTGCCTGAAAAATCTGTTATCTTGATGCACATGCATGATGGAGGATTTCAAAGTATAGCAGTTCAAACTACATCTAAGTGAATTTACCCAGTGTGGGATCAATAAAGTCTATCTTATCTTAAAAGTGCTTTCAGTAGAGTGCAGATCGCTGCCAGGTTGACTAAATTTGCATTTCACTTAACCACTTCCTATGTTGATCACAGGATTTTATAGTCCTTGTCAAAAACAACAAAAATGTGTGTCTCTTTGGGGTTTATGCTAAGATAAGCTAACTGGCTGCTGGTTGTAGATTGATATTTTATGGACAGATATGAGAGTTAATTAATTAATTAATCTTGTCATCCAACTCTTGGCAAGATAGCCAAAACGTTTCTGACATTCCAAAAATGTCAAACTATTCTTTTAAAAGCAATAACAGTTGCTATATTTGGTCTTGCTCAGAGCTGAAAGAATAAACTAGAAGTTGATGACTAAAAATATAATAGATAATATATAATAACCTTCAGAGTTTAAGTGAAACTTTCTACAAGATATTGCCAAATGTGCTTACACTTCTAATTGGATAAATTCAACCCTCTCCAATATTGCATCTTTGAATAGAATGAATTATTTTATAACACAGGCAATCATAAGTAGCTGCAATAGATGTTATAGCGAGCCAACGTGGCAGCAGGAAGCTGCATCCTTCACCACTTTGTTTGGGTATTGTTGGACCCACCAGAGACAAACAGTGGCTCCTCAGGGAGCCAGAGGAAACGCTGCTAAGCAGATGGCTCAGTAATAGGTGCTAATTACTGCCAGGAATCATAGTGTTCTCTGAAAAGCACAAACCTTACCGCTAAATGTTGCAACTTTCTTGTTGAACCTTGTGGGGGAACCTCTCATCAGATTCATAGATATTTCATCATAGCAGAGTGCTAGTTGGAGACTAGCTTTGTGAGGAAAAATACATGAGCTCTGCGGCTTTTTAAAAATATGGTGGAACACCCTTTTATGAGTGGGCTGATGCTATTGTATCTCATCCCATAGTGGACCATAATGCAACACAATTAAACAGAAGAGGACAAAATACAATCAATAATACAATCTATGTGTGTTGTGTCCTGAGGCAAATGATATTCTTTGCTGTATAGAATGTCAACCAGAAATGATGTTTTACTCAGATTTAGTCAGAGTAAACTGAAGGGAAAAAAACTTAAAATGGCATTTCTATTTGGAATTCTGGGCCATTTTTCTCCCCGCACAATACCTATGGGACAATGGATGTGTCTACTTTCCATAAAATGTCACATTCACGTGCAGTCACACACACACACACACACACACACCGCTATAAGGAGCTTTCACTCACTGGTTATTTATGAAGGCATATTTATTGATGGTCTCTATGACAAACTTGAACGGTATCTTGGAGGTCAGAGTGTAGCCGTGTTGGACCATCGGCTCTCCATCAGGACCGTCCCAACAGTCCACTGCGGGAAAAGAAAAACAGGAGAAATGATGCATGAATAAAACACTGCATCATGTTATTTCAGTTTTATGTCTTTTCTCACCGTTCGTGGTTCATCTTTAAATATAGGACAGACTTTTTATTTATTTGGACTTCTTATCACAGCTCTCATACTCCGCTATTTCACATTCTACACATTCAACACTGGTGTTAAAATTATTCTGGGTGTGAATAAATGTAATGGCCAAGCGATAGCAGGTGCAAGATTGTGGTACATTATGGGGGTTTACTCAGTGTTCCAGCATCAAGGGCTTGTTTTTGATTTTATTACCAAGCATAAACATAGCAATAAAAAAATTGCTAAGCAGTAAACATCCATTAACATCCCAGTGTACAATGATTGTTTAATTCGAGCTTTAGCAGAAAACAGAGCAATTGATTATGTTGAAAGAGAGTTTGTTGCAATTATAAGGACTCATAAAAACAACTTGTCAAATCAAAGTTGACTTTTTTTCACAGCAGACACGTTGAAATGTCCTAGTATGAAAAGGGAGTTGCTAAAAACATTAACCATGTCTTTACATCTTTGCTTTTCCTACTGTGACATGTCAAGACATCTCTGGAAATGGTCTGATGGTCATTCAGATTAGCCTTGTGCATGGTGTCCATGTTTTATGTGGTCGATGTGTGCTTACCTTCTACACAGCGGCAGCCGGACTGCAGCACCCAGGCATACATGTCGGTCTTGGAGTGGGAGAGGAGTTGGTCTCCAGTCAGGTATGTGTTGTGCGAAGAGGCAATGAAGTAGTTACACAGAGGCTGCTCCATGTCTTGATTCACCTCATGGTGCAAAGGGTTGAAAATGTCACATGTTGGACTGCGCATGAAACTTGTAAAACCTGAAGGAAAATACACATTTAGAAAATTATTTAGAACAAGCATTGTTAAAGAATACTGCTTTGTTTCATGTTTTTTTGCTTTGATTTAAAAATATTAGATGGCGCAGACATCATTTGTATTCAGTCAGCAGAATAGCTCTGTGGATGGCAATGTGTCTGTCGGTCAGTGTGCCACTTTGAAATCTCTATTAGATGGATTGCCATGAAAATATGTAGGAACTTGCATGATCCCTGGTGGATGCATCCTGACTTTTCCTTTAGCACCACCATGAATTTGGAAAGTCTCAACAAGATATTTCACTACTGCTTCACTACGACTTTGTACTAGAACAAAAATTTCAATAACTGACTTTACTGATTGCTGACCTTTCCTGTAGCATCACCATGAGGTTTTGTGCTTTTAAGTGAGAAGTCACAACAACTATAGGATGGATTCCCATTAAATACTATAGTTAAAATGATTGACTAATTCATCAACCATAAAGTACACACACAGGTGTTAGTTTATACAGATAGAGATAAGTGGAAGTCAGTTGCAGAGGCCCCTGTGGAACAAAGCAAAGTATTGTTCTTTTGGGGGGGGCTTTTATTGCCTTTATTATAGCGACAGCTGAAGATAGACAGGAAAGAGGGGCAGAGAGAGGGTGACACACAGCAACGGGCCGCAGGTTGGATTCGAACCCTGGGCCGCTGCAGCAAGGACTCAGCCTCGGTACATGGGTCGCCAGCTCTACCCACTGAGCTATCCGGGCACCCGAAGCAAACTATTCTAAATATTGCTTGTCATGCAGTGATCCTGCATCCCTCCTGCACCAGATTTACAGCAACCAATGTTCTCCGTTTTTTTTATATCCTTTAATATTCATGCACAGTGTAACAGCCTCAAACAATGACATCTACACTACTGCACTTCATCAGCGGGTTGCTTTCCAGGAAAATACCAAAGGATGACAAACGACCACATTCAAACCGGAGGGCTACGGTTTCAAACCAGCGGTTTGAGGTTTGAACCTGCGCTACTGGTGGATATACTTCACACAGCCAACTTTTCTTAGGTGGTACAGCATGAAGAGGACTAAGAGGGAAGAAAGCATCCTTTCATCCAGAGAGGGGGGATAAAAATGAGACAGGAATACCAAGAGCAGGAGGCAAGCCAGGGGAAGACAAGGGAAAATAATCAGACAGTTAATGTGGAAAATGAGATAGTGGAGAAGAAATGGAAAAATATGATACAAATACTGGAGACGTTGTTGTTATGGTAAGTCAGTGATCAGACTGGACATGCAATCTAGTCATGGTGTCATGATGGCTGAATCCAGATTTTAACAGCACACTGTGTGACATGAATCCTTTTACAATTCAGTCACATGGGTTATAAACTGACCAACTACTGTAGGTAACAGCTTATCACACTGTAAAAGATGCTAATGTGAATCTGTTTGTACATTTCTGTCATATCTGCGCACAATGCATGTTTAAACACACACATTTTGGCCTGCAGGCAAGACATCAGGCCTACTGGTCTGATCAGTCAGACACATGCAGTGTGTCTTCATGCCTCCAACAACAAGATTAGTTTCACCCCTCCTCCTCTCCCTCTCATATCCTCTGCACATACTCACTCCTCCCATTTCTGTCACACTCTCATTTTCTCTTTTCCATCGTCCTCATTCTGACTTCCCAATTTGTTCCCCCCTGCAACCCTTCTCAATCCTCACTCCTTCTTTTCCCTTAAGCTCACCCGACAGTTAAATGTGGCGTTACTTAAAATGATACACTGAGCTGAACACATTCCAAAGACAAAGTCCCAAAACATTCACGCTCATTACTTTATCTTCCCAGCCACTCATTGTCAGGATTTAATGTTTTTTATTATCAGGGTGGAATTCACAAAAAAAGGTTGATAGAATTTTCAATTGAATTGGTAAATCTGCAATCAAATTAAAAAATATATTGTTATTCATTCATTTCTAAAAGACACAAGTTACATATTGCTTAACTATAGGCCAAAGGTCTTTGTGGTTGACAGATTCATAAATATTCAGAAGCTGTCTGCTTTAGGAGAAGGGAGTCCCATTTTCGTCTGCATTACATTTTCAGTGAAATGACTAAACAACATTATTCTGGTCAACAGATCAAAAAACTAAATCTGAAAGGTTGTTTAATTTTAATGTGCTTAAGTAACTCAAAAGCTTCAAAAAAGGCCAGGTGGATTATTTAAACAGCATTTGCTCTCATTCCTCCAGTGTTCATTTGTTGTAGACAATAGAGTTGTGACTGTTAGAATTTGGTTTCTTTATTTCTGAACGTTTTCTGCAGAATTGTTTGAAAATGTAAACAGAGCTATCTAGAATCTGTCTTGAATTTGTGGTGTCTTGAAAACCTATGTGAGCTGGACATAGTTGCATGCATTACATAATAAACACTTCAATAATTTATTCATTAAAAACAATCTAGTTTTGTTTAACATCTCCATTATTCCCACTTTGCACACCATTTATCATTCAGTGTTCACCTTGGTGCATTTATTTTGTGCATTGGCCAATGTCTCATGAACTCAACCCATGCACATAATCTGTTTGACTCTGCCCCTGCAGATTGATACTTCTCCAACAAACTCTTAATGGCAAAACTGTATTAATACCTGGTCTGGTGAACTGTTTTCAGACGGACGATCAAACAAAATAACAGTAATTGAGAAAGTTGCAAAGTGATGGTGTGCCACGAGCAGCGAGTGAAAATAAAGATGTGAAAGAAGACAGAGAAATGGAAAAAAGTTACCTTCAATCCCCATGATGCCTCTTTGTTTATTCTCGTCAGACACCTCAAACTTGTCAATGACTTCTGCAACATACTCTGGAGTCACGTTGGTCATCTATACACAAAACAGAAGAACAAAGTACATGTAAAGACCTTGTTTAGACTCTTTGAGATATATCAATGATTCAATCCCAGAGTAAATGATAAAACAAATGAGAGTGCTTTCCCATTTGAATAACACATGTGCGTTGCTATTAAATTAATTGTCAGCCGTGTCAAACAAGCAGCACCGTCTGAGAAAAGTATTAATGCCGAGCATTGCGGGCAGGATATGGTACATACAACATGAAAAATTACACCACTGCAGTGTAAGGGAGAAAAGAGTGTGTCAGAAACACAAAGAAAAACACTGAAGGAAAAAAGAGCAAATAAAAACTGAAAAGAACAAGAGAAGCGCCCATGAGACAAAACAATTTTAGGAGTGATAGATTGGCTTAGTGGAGCAGATTCCTCTGGGCAGACAGCTGAGACAGAGGGAGTTACATGTTAGACTAAGGAGAGGAAGAGCAGGAACATAATCTCTTTTATGTGGCCGGATCTCAAATTGCAGAGAAAGTGGTTTGGACACCTAATCATAAAAATGTGTCGGGTTTAACATCACCGCCTGAGCATTTCATTGGCTCTAGCTCGAAGCCAATATGACCTCCCACCTTCTGCTCGTTGCGCAGGAAGTTGGCCAGCTCATCCACTGTCAGGTGGTCCTTCCTGTCACTGTACGCCATCATCAGGAGGAACAGGTCCCGTCTCAGAGACATCATCTTGTAGAAGACTGAAAACTCCTCGTATGTCAGCGTGCCCTGCTGATCATCTGTGTCTGCTTCCTGTGCGGGCGAGGAAGTGATATGTCATCAGTGACACATCTCAAGCTATTGTATTTTGGTGGTTAGAGCAGAACAACAAAAGAAGCTTCAGCGACACACTACGCAAAATCTGGCTTGCAGTGTGTCCACACAGTCCTCATCTGAAACAACAACTTCTAAAGCTGCTGAATAATACTTAACCCTTACTAGATTTGGGAAACTATAACATATCCATATTTGAGTGTAATACAAATCTGTCAGTGAAATAAATAATTGTTTTACATAAATATAATCAATCAAAAAATATATTTAACCAAAGAACCCTAAAGTTTAGTAAATAGATAATATAAGTTAGGACATAAAACAATGACAGTAACCATAAATATACAGTATAATACATTTTGAACTGTAAAATTTACCAGAAGTTATTGTCAATTATAGCCAGAAATATAAACAAATATTTACTGCAGATCAATTAAGAAAGATGAAAGACATTGTAGCTCTCCTCTGTAGGCATGCCCCCCAGCATGCACAGGGGCCACGGACGTATAGACATAAGTTCCGTATTATTTTTCTTCACTGTTTCCAAACTGCACACATTATTTCACAATTACAAGTGAATGTGGTTCAACTAAGTGTTGTTGTGTGGTCAATTGTTACCATTCTCCCCAATCTGAATACAAGGAAGGGTGTATTATTGTGCTGTTGTGTAAAGCTGAGTCCTTCCAACCAGCAAACTTATCTACCTCCTGGCTCAACACACTGTATAAAAGTTTAAAATGCAGTTTACTAGACAGCGGTTTCTTTTCGTATATTTAAAAATACATGTATTCTGGCTCCAGAGCTCTGAATTGTCTCCCTCATCTCGGGTTTCTTAAGCAATTCAGATATGTCTGGTATTGTTCCCTTTGACGGTGTCCTCTACTGGTGATAAGAACAGTCGAATCACAGCTCAGTAGGGAAGAATAAAAATGGGGATGTCATTTTGTTACATAGGCAGCTAGATAACTTGCTACATTAATGGAAAATCACAACAAATTGTCGACTTACAGAAAGAATATTTTGTTTGGTAAATGTGAAAAAACATTTAGTTGCTGCTCCTAGCACCTGCTACCACCGCTTCTGTGTCAGCCGCAAATGATGGCAACATGGAAACGCCACTCACTACTGATTGATTAGGGCCAAATGAAAAACCAGATCAGCAAACTTGAACAAAATGTCAGACTGAATGAATGAAGTAAAGCCTAATGGCAATTCAGTCTGAATAACCAAAACCGATAACTGCTGTAAGTGGTAAGCCAATCTCAGTTGGTCAGTGCACACTAGAATTACAAGACGATGGTGTGCACAAGGAAACAGCTGTCTCATCCTTTTTTTTCCTCCATCTCTTGTCACGTTTCTCTCTTTCACAAGGACACGAATACAAATTCACTCACTAGCACACACACTGTAACACTCTTTATGACACAAACACATTACCTCTGCAACCCATTTTTTTCTTTCCTAACCTCATATCTCACTACATGTCTGCCTGAGGACACACAAAGCATGGCTCACTGCTCGTTCTATCCTGCAACATCGTTCTGTCTGCTCGCTGGGATCCAGCGTCTCATATTACCTGTATCTCACGGGGGCCCATTCGAATCCACACCAAATCTAATAATACCACCTAATGCCTTCATCACACTCCCATAATGAGCTTGCTGTGTCCATTGGGTACTCGATCACAGACAGAATCTACACACAACCAGCAGGATAAATCACTGTGATGGACTTCATCAGAAATGCATGGACAGAAAACAAAGAGCTCCATGGTATTTTAAGCAACTGCACAAGCTGTTCAGGTAGCAATGCTGTTGTCTGCCAATGCTTAAATGGAAAGAATTCATGAAATTTCAAATCTGACCTCAACCCAAAGGATGAATTATTCTATGGTGCAAAATAAGAGCCCATTATGAAGTGATAAAAATGCTTTTGAAATCCACTGTATCAGCTCTAAACTACTGGGGTTGGGTCCTTGCTGGTATTGACTATATTTTTGTGGTCAACAGATAAAAGAGAAAAGTGAGAAATTGGACATTTGTAACTGTCTCACTGCATACTATAATCCACATTAGAAAAGCCAGTAGACACTTTATGTGGATTTCTGATATTACTCAATGTGACTTCTATTATTAAATTTGAAGCAGCCCTCTCCTTACACCACTTCATGCTTTTCCTCTAAAAGTGTCTCTCATGTATGAATACATAAAAGATTTTTCGCACATTTATTTGAATTGCACAAATGCACATAACAGTTAAAAATGCAACAGTAATGTGATGTCAGTGATCTAAAATATTTATACATGAGTACTGAATGTGTTCAAATGAAAGAAATGAAATTTCTTGTATATGTGAGATGTAAAATAGTGAATGTCTGCTGAGTCTGTATGCTTTACTGGACTATTAATTAAACAGTTGTATTTAGTTAATAAATTAAAGTGGCTTCATATTCTGACCTGAAACATTTGTTTGACCTTCCTGCGTGGCAGATTGACATTCAGCTTGTGAAGAAGTTGGTAGATCTCTTCGATGTTCAGGAATCCGTCTCCGTTCTTATCAGCCTCCTCAAATGTCTGCTTCAGCCACGTCACACACAACAACATTAAGGAAAATGAAATGTGTATCATCTGCATAAAATATGTATAATTTCAAGTATTTCAAGCTTGATATCTCTTTTGAGCCACTGAATGTGCACAGATACCCCATACATATTTCTTTTGAGTGTGCTTCAGTGTTTCACCTGACAACAGTTATTTGTGTGTAGCTCTTTGTTTAAAGGATATTGGTCATGTGTACGCTGCCGTTTGGCCAGCGAGTCCTCATCACTGATCCCAGCCATCAGGTAGCGGAGACCAGTTATCCAGGTTCTGGCTTCTTCTGCATTTGAAGTCACCAGGTCAAGGGACTCCATATGGTTCCCATGGTACACTGTGAAACAGCAGGCCTGGTCGAAGCTGCCATCTGCATGCCGCTGGAAAATGTCCGATTGACCCCCCTCTGTGACTTTGTACAGTGAATCAATAGTGACTGACAGAGAGAGGAGGTGGGGTGGAAAAGAAAAGACCAGTTTGATTAATATACTTAAAGTGTTAATGATTTCTGTCTACTATTGAATTACAAGTTAAAGGATAAGACTTGTGATATTCTGTGTTTTTGAAAAGACTAAAACGAATAATGATTTCCTATCCTACCACTAAGTATGCACTGTGTAGCTGAAGCTTCATGTAGTAAATTCATTAAAAACACGTCCATGAGCCACATAATTAGACTGAATGACGTGTACCTTCATTATGAACATGGGCACTGTAGTTTAATTTGACTCAATCTCAATCTCACATAGACAGTCCCTCTGCTGTCAATACTCACTGGAGAACCAAATGTGTATTAATCCGCAACTGAAAATAGTCCGAAAAAATGCACTAGTGCCCAGCTGCTGGGAAATCATTGGATTTTTAAAAAAACTATATAGAGGTATGTGTGACTTGTTTCAAAAGATTTACTCTTCAGTAGGGACAAATGGGCTTAGGGGTTAGAGTAGGGTGGTCGGAAAGTGTTTAGAGATGGACTAAAACATTGTTGGTTTTGATCTTTTCCTACAATTTGTTAACGATAGAAAAATTGTAGAATAAATTAGCCTTATCTGTTAATATTGCAAACAAAGTGCTTGACAGTTCCCTACACTGTATTATGACTGAGAAGTTGAACAGGCAGATTAATCAGTCGAGTGTAGAATCTAAAAACTGTAATAACAGTAAAAACCTGCATAGCTTTTTTTAAAAATAACCATGACCAGAATTATGTGAGTTCTCCACATTCTCTGCTTTCCTCTATATCGTGTAAAAACTCACAGAGGAAGCAGTTCCTGGAGGCTTCAGAGTGTATCACGGTCTAATGAGATTTGAGTCTAAACTCAGCTTATCTTTGACGCTGTGTCTTTGTTAGGAAAGAGAAACAGCCTGCAGTAAATGTCCTGTCCTACATATTTACACATATGTTCTGCCTCTTCACCTCGCTTGTTTTCTCCTTACAGTGTAAGACCATTAACATGCGGTTAAAGGTGACGCTTTCAGTTAAAACAGTTCATTAATGACCCTCATCAATGCACCAATGTGTTTCCTCAGAACAACTAAGCTTTATGTTTTGGGAAACACCATTATGTTTAATTAATTGATAAAACAATTAATGATATGATGATTTTATTCAATTAATTCTTACAGATCCCAAAATACTTTGCCCTAATCCATTCCAAAATGATCCATGTCCATTTCCCCATTACATAATCTCATCTCTGAAATTCTCCTCTGACTGAAAGTAACAATATTGCAGCCCTAGTTTGATCCCACTCAGACAACATAAACACACACACACACACACACACACACACACACACACACACACACACACACACACACACACACACACACAGAAAGAAATGGGCAGCTGTTGTGTGTTTCTCTTAATCATGTCAATGGAGAGGATGAGGAAGAGGCTTATCTAATGCATACACGCACTGTCATACACATGTAAGGACAGGTCCATAGACAGCTGAATGCTTCAGTAGGTTGACACATAGTAAAAAATGACAATGATGCTTTGAGGGGGCCATGAAATATATAATGATAATCCCCTCAGAGCCAGAACAGTGTGTCTGCCTCAGATTGTGGAAATTAAACATTCAGACATTTAAGGAAAAATATGAGGGCAGAGGCCGAGATAATCTGCAAAGCACTTTGTAACATGATTTGTGCTACAAAAATACAAGTATTACTATTATTGTGTAATTTTAAAAACTAATTAAAGTTTATTGTTAATCAACTTGGGTCTAATTTTTGCAGCTTCGGCCATCATTTCTAGCGGTTATGATAACAATGCACACGCCAGAGACCTGTATGTAGTTAGATTTTGGCAGCAAAAGCACTTTAATTAAGGTTGGATAAAGATCATGGTTTTTGCTAAATGTAAATAAACGTGACTCACAGACCTTAACCAAGCACCGAGTGCCTAAACATAACAATAAAAATGTTTAATAATGCTGTAGTTGTTGCAAGCAGATAATGCTTCGAAAGATAATTTTAGCTGGAAACAAAAGCATTGCATATATTGTCAGTGAACATTTTACTGATACATTCAGTATCAATATTTTTGCCATTAGCCAGATTTGTTCATTGACACCATTTCCTCATTGTGTTGATTAAAATAACATATTTGCTTTTTCAAATTAGTTGTAAAAACTATTTTTAGGAGACATGGTTGTCAATGTACAGGGAAGCGGTGTGAGCACACGACTGCTATTACAAGTGCAAGTACAGTGGATCGAAGTTGGATGAAGTCAATGGAGTGTACAGTGTGATAGAAACTTGCCTGATTCATCTCAGCAATTGAAGGGATACTCCAGAGATTTCAAATTGCACTTCCATAAAGTACTGGGATAAAGAGATGGGACTTGGAACAGGCATGTTTTAAAAAATCAAAGCAGACAAGGCCAAGATATTTTATTTTAGTCCCTGGTACAAGTGAAGCTCCAAAAATGCTGGAACCCACATTTCTCATGATGCAACTGCATAACATCTTTCATTAGACCCACGCCTTTCAACATTCCCTGTTCACTAAGTTGCAAATTTTGAGTCTTTGAAGTTCAACCCAGAGCCACAAAGGACACATTAATAAACAATTTTTACAGATCGAGCGCTACTCCTCGTGATGAGTAAACTGATCCTTGTGTGAAATCACCGGAAAGCTCCATCAACTTAAAGTTCAAGTATGTGGCATTTAGGAAGATCTATTGGCAGTAATGGAATATAATATTTTTATTAGTGTACAATCACTTGAAAATAAGAATTGCTGTGTTTTCGAGAATGAGTTTTTATCTACAGAGGCACCAACACTGCCTCTAGGTAGGGCTGGTTGTGTTTTACGCGAGTTTCACAGGCACTGTAGTTTCCCCTACACAGTTGGAAGGCTCAGCTGTATTCAAATGGTTGCTGATCTGCAACTTTACCGTTAGCTACTTCCACTGAATCTTACACACTGGTCTTTTAATCAATGTGAATGATGAAGGACAATGAGACAGTGACAAAAAGAGAGTTTGTGTCTTGTGTCTGTGTGTACACGCATACTCACTTTTGGCCTTCTCACTCTTGCGTGAGGGCTTCCAGCGAATGCAGGAGCAATGCTCATCCAGATAGAACAGTCTCACCAGCCCTTTGGATCCTGCCTTCAGCTTTACCATCTGTGTCCCGGACTGCATCACACTCATGCATCGCTCCACTGCAGAAGAAAAAACACACACACACACACAAACATCAGGGTCAGTGGAGCACTATATTAAGACACAAAGGGAACAGGTGCGTGGCTTTATTTGTCTTTTCTCAGGAAGAAGTGAGGCAAAGTGTCACAGTGTCACACAATTAGCAGAGCAGCCAGCAGCTGATGTGAGTCAGAGTCCAAACTGCAACAGAGATGCTACTGTGTGAACACACAGGGCTGCTTTTCTATTACCCACTGACCTGCTGCTGATTTCAACGGGGAGAAGGAAGAAAGAGAGAGAGATCTCATTGAGAGAGACAGAGCTAATGTTTGTCTCTCTGATCTAAGTTTCACAGAGGGCCTGTGGGCTGTTCAAGAAGAAATCTCCACATCATACTGAGGCAGGTGGAAGCTATGACTTGGCTACATTAAAGGCTGTCCAAAATATAGTAAATCGATTATAATGTTGCTGAAGATTTAAAATATCGGTTCTCCCAAATGACAACATACTCTGTGACTTTCCTCTCCAGATAGTTTTGGTTTCATGTGCTTGGGTTTTGAGATATCTGTCTCTGTGATTTCAGGCTCTTCCCCAGTACAACAGATGTGAATGCAAACAAGTTTAACTATACTATATTATACAAGAAGCATCCAAGAGACATGTGCCCAGAGCCCTCAAAGGACCATGGTCCGGCCCTGGTTGGGTAGCAAAGTGTTACCAATTCCCACTGTGTCATGGTTTTAAATAATGTACTACTTCTGTTCCTGCAATGATGTGTTGTGGTACAGTATAAACTGTATGTGTGACATATGCTCTGAAGAGAAAAAAATTCTGGCAATCATCTATAGGCGAAGATTCAATCAAAGACACATGAAACGAACAGAAGATTCAGGGAGGGGGGGGTAATAGTGGAGTGTTCTGAAGAGGAGAACAGAGGGACTGAAATGATGGTGAGAAGTGACTTTGTGTTTGACTGCCTGGCACTGTCCAGCATCGAGGAAGGATAAAAGACAAATCTTCAAACTTTTTACTTTTTCTGACAGCTGGTGGCAGGGATACAGGCGGGGATGACAGCAGAGAGACAGTGAGATTTCCATCCTCATTAGTGGAGTGTGTGCATGCACGTCTATGTGTGTGTAAGTGTGTGTATGAGTTAATGTCTTTGGCTATGCATGTAGCACATGTTTTCCTGTATGTATGCATGAAATATGTCTAGTTTTACATGCATTAGTACACACTTATAGCCCACAATTGGTCTTTACAGTAAATAAAGAGCTCAAAAAACAAATATGGTATCAAATTGTTAACAGAACAATATTTAATTAAAATAATTCACTCTATACAACCTTGATGTGTCTGAGGTTCCATTCATGCACAAAGAGACAAAAGTCCCACTCTCTTCACAAGACTATCTTTCCCCTCTTTTAAACATCACTTTGGCTGGATATTAACTTCTGACTGCATTGAAAGAGCAGAAACATATATAAATATATATAAACTGGCTGTTTTCACATACATGAGGTCAAGAAGTCTGATGAAAAGGCATTCTTATCCATCATTTCTCTAATATAATACCAGCCGCAATGGAGAAGATGCACTTTAACAGTCATGCGAAGTAAGATCCGATATATACTGCAGCTATTATAGTAACAAAAAATGGTGCCTGAATAGAGGTATGCAGCCTCCTCCCTGGAGCTTCTAAGAGTTCAGGGACTTTCTTAAGCACACTTATCTGCTGGTCAAATGATTGTTAATGCAAGAGCTCGAGCCAAGTCCTCCACCTATAAGGACAGACTCTCCTCATACGAAGCCATCTCCAAGCACACCCTTAAATTCTTCCTGGTGCTGAAGAATAACAATCTGTGCTGAACGATGGAAAAATACCTGCACAGAGCTTGTTAGTTCCCAGTTCTTCTTTTCATCCCATGAAGACATGACTGCTAATGTTTCAACTAACCAGAGAAGGTGAGAGAAAGTGCAAGCCTGTAAGTGGTGATGAATTGTAATAACTGACTTAGGAGAAATTACACATTTCCCAAAGGAATGACATATAGTCATCGGTATATTAGGGGTACATCAGTGATTTAATATTGTATGTATAACGCTGGGGGAAGGATGGTCAAAATCAAAGCAGCAGACACTGAGATATATGGAGCTCAAAAATAGCTGGATTCCACACTTCCCATCATGCAACTTAAGCATCTCTTAAATAGACCCTCCCTGTCTTTTAAATTCCCATGTCGTCGTTTGAGCTCCCAGGTTGTAACACAGACGGTTATAAATTCCTAGTCTATAAGCCCCCCCCCCAAACATAGCCTGGTTGACATCAAGTTTAAAGCTCAACATTAAATGCATACAAACACACAAATAAAATACATAGATTTAGAGTGCTGCATTGATCTGTTACATAAAACCAGGCCACACCACTGCTTGCGACTAAGGGAGGTTGAAGATAGCTGGTGACAACTTGACGATGTGTGCATTCCTGAACTGTCAAAACGGGAGATGAGTAATACGAGGAATTACACACCTCTGTGAATTTTAATTTTTCGATGTGATGGAAATTTTCTGCAACACACAGTTTAAGGCAGCAGGAAGACAACAACGGAAAAGAAACAGCATACACAGACACACAACATAGTTTGCAAAGATCTCATTCACACATTTAAATTCCCAAGAAATCTAAAACAAAACACTTCTTATTATATATGAACCACACACCAATCATATATTACAAATTAAAGATTAATTTGTTAGGTATATATGTATCCTATAACTAAATATGTGCAATGTCTGAAATGTAGATTTAATTTTCTGCATAAAATCAAACCATGTTGGAAAATCTGGCGAGGGAATCTACTGACGCAAAGTCTTCAGGTTTTGTTGTTAATAGAGTGGTTGTAGAGTTGTAGGACTTTAATTATTTTTTGTATGCTTACACACAAGCATATGTATACACAAAAACATAAAAATGCATATTCTGAGACGTCGTGGGTGATTATCTTCAAAGACAAGAAAACAGAAAGCTCCAAAAACACATATTTAAGTGTACTTAACAGAGCACACGCTGAGCGGAGTACTTGTTAACAGGCTTTCTGTCCCGAGGATAGGCTTAGCAATGACACAATATTCAGTGAGTTCTTTGGGTTGTAGATGCTCACTCTAGGGACAGTATTACACACACACACATAAGCACATTAACCTGACCCTGTATATGTATATGTATTATCTCCCAAGGTGCAAAGGTGCATCAAAAATCATGAATGCACTCTAATGGATGGTCACACAATCTGCCATCTTGTTAACACAATGCCTTTTCTCCAGGTCAGCCGTGAGCCTGGAGGGGGTCGTGCGTTTGATTGTATGTGTATGTGTGTGTGTCACTCTGTGTGTGTGAGACTGTGTTCGTCTGTGTATCTGTCCGTATCTATTCACACATGGTGGGGACTCATCCAGTTGGCAATAGGAATGGGGAATGGGTCTATTCTAGAGTGATAGATAGATCTGGTAAGGTTAGGTTGTTGCTAAGATTAATGGTTCAAAGGTCAAAATTTAAAGCTTATATGCTTTAGTTTATGTCAAATAGAAGGGATTACTCATGTGAACATCTGACATGAATAGTGGTAACGAGACTATGGGAAAATACAACATTAACTCTCGCAAAAGTCTTTGTTTTTTCCAAACCACTTCAGCAAATGCCCTGGTATAATAGTTTAAAGCAACCTCATGCAACTATTTTACCTTAAAATAACAGCTTCAAAATTGTTTTGACGGTATACTGACTTGTAATAGGGTGAGTGGTGGTCAGTCAGATAGTCTGCACCCCGAGCATATGCTTGCACAATATAACTTTGTTGCTGATCTTTCACAAGAAGTGCTGATAGACAAATAGGTTTACTTGTTGCTAAAGTAGCCTAACTCCTAACTGCTTCTAACAATAGAAGTAGATATTTCAGTTAGCCGTGCAGCTAGCTGACTCTGCCCAGACCGCACTGGGAGCTCGGAGCATCCGGGGAGCGTTGGTGTTTACACCGCTTGCACAGGAGGTTTGGACCGCTGGAGGGAGGAGGTTTTCAGGCCCGGAGAGGGGAATGTCTGTCTGCTGGTTGTTGCTGGAAATGTAGCATACAGTGGGTGTATCAGAGCTGAAAATCTTTTTGCTGAAAATTGCTGCCCACTGCGCTGGAATCTATAATTATGAGACTGGTGAAAGTCAACCAAAGCCATAAAGCCATGAAACCAAAACAATGATGTAAAAGATGGTATACAGCTATGTAAAAATCAGGAAAACTGCAGAGTTGGATGATTTTTCTGTGTGAGCTCATTCCCCCTGTCACATTATGCATCGGGATTTGATCAAATTTGAATATAAAAATACTGATTAGTGGAGCTTTAAAATTGTATCTGCAGTCTGTTGAACTTTATAATGTTAGGTGATAAACAGGTGTTTTCTCTTGCAGATAACAATGGGAATAATTATTATTAATTAATAATTAATTTCTTGTGTGCCACTCGAGTTTTAAGTTAACTTTTGCTCTCATGTCATTTATTGTGCAAATTATTTGATAACTTATCACATTGTAGGACTTAAACTACTATTATATCTGCTCATAATGTATGAGCAAGTACTGTAGTGTGTATTGTATTGTTGTGAGAACTCAGAAAACAGAGCTGCAGAAAACAATGGGACACTGAAGACACAGTGATAATCGTGAAAAAATAATTAATCAGAAACCAGAAAATAGGCCGTGTTGCATTATTTATCTCACGCAGCCACTTCAGAAATTCACAGCTTCATTAACGATGGAATTCAATGGCGGTCACTGTCAAATGTGGGTTTACTGTATTATTGATTATATCCACAGTGCTCTGCTCCAGTGAACAAGCGTGTTCTTCTGGGTGTTCGATCTTACACTGTTTCAGGCTACAAAATCCATGACTCAGACAAGCTTCCAGCAACATTTCTCCAGTGCTGGATATGTAACACCATAAATCAGGCCCAAAGTGAATAAACACTATT